TTACTATTTGTTTCGTAACAAGAGTAACTCCGTCATAAGGTATTTGATTTGACATCACTAAGCTACATTTGTGTAGGAAATTGGATAAAGGCGTCGACAATCTACATTAATGACCTTGATGCAAAATAAGGATACACCAATAAAAGGCAATCTAGCTATTCTGTAAAACAGATGAATGTACTCAATGAGATGTATAATTAAGAGTGATCAAAAAGTCAATGAACTAACTGAACAACTTCGGCAAAAGAAAATGATCGGGTGTCTATGTTTATTCTTTTTAAAGTAGACTGCTCCAGTTTAATACACATATGCCCCCGTTCTGCCCATGCATGAAACACCTGGTCCAGGTGGTCACATGACATGCTTCGTAGCATACGGTTCACAACAGCCCATTATATTTTCCAACGTCTTATATTTTCTTACCAAGCAGGTTATCGATTATAAAAAGAATAGCCCACATTTCACAAATTGACAAATCTTGATCATAGAATGGGTGGAGTAGGATTTCTTTTCCCAGTATTGGAATGTTGACCATCACCAACCCGACTCCTCTGTCTTGGGTGCGTTGCATATCCAATATGGATAAAGTATGAGCACTTTCTATTTATAATATCTCATCTGTTAACAGTCTAAAGTAACTGAGATTATAGGGGATCAAGAATTATTTTAATATCAAGGTATTCAATAATTTCTTAACTCGGCGATCTTTCATTAAAATTGCTCCATCTGTGCTCAATCCTGACCCAACCTCTGGAATGTGCAGGCATCTGAATTTTGTGCACTTTTCACAGATTTGTATTGTTTGTAGATACATGTTATATATATTTATTACAGGTTGAAACAAGATGTGTTTGTGAAACACTGATGTCCCCGTATGGCAACTTATAGCAAAGGTTAAACTTCGATCCTCAAATGCAAATCAAATATGTTGGTACCCAAAGTAAGGTCTTGTCCCAAGGAATATACCTGTAAATTTGAAAGTCCTAGCAGCAACCATTGAAAAGATATGGAAAACGCTTAAGTTTTTCAAAAGTAAGTCAAACATCAAGGTCAAGGTCAAAATTAATGGTGCCCAAGTAAAGGCCTTTTTACAAGAAATACACACGTAAAATTTGAAAGCCCTACCACCAACCATTCAAAAGATACAGGGTATGGCCAAGGTTAAAGTTTTTCAAAAGTTGGTCAAAGTTGTTGGCATCCAAAGGTAGGTCTTGTCACAAGGATAACATATGTGAAGAATATAGCATAAGCTCATCTCGTCTTCATGGAGGTGAGCTAAAAAGTATCTTGGAAATAGCAGTAGAATAAACTGTCAAAAAAATGTTATTTTCCATTCACTTAAGATGAATAAATCACACAAATTTTAATGTTATTGGTGTTACTCAATTTGATATATACTTCATAAATGAAAAATGAAACATCTGATGAATGAATTGATTCCTCTAATCAAAATTGAATGTACATTGTTATAAACAATAATGAGGATAAGCCTCTAAATTTACATGCCCTTCAGGCTTGTATGTGTGCAGTTTTCACATGCCCACTTCCAACTTTACCAGGCCCCGGGCTTCGGACTCCCGGGATTTGTCGAAGACTGATTTTCACTTTTTTTCCTATGACAGACTCATGATACTTTTTCCTGATGTACTGCAGAATTGATCTTTCGGTGACTAACTGCATAAAAAATGTTGTAGTTTCAATGGTAAAGAACGTATCAAAGACCACATTTATATTTAAATGGTAAATCTCAGGTAAGGGAATGGCTAAACTTCTTCAGGTGTGAATGCCTGCAGAGTTTTTAGTCTAACTGTGTTAATTAATACCGCTAATGCTATATACATACACCTAGAAACAAAGGTCATCAGTTTCTACTGCTACATACACCTAGAAACAATGGCCATCAGTACCCTTCATGCAGAATGGCTGATTATTTTACACAAGTGGACAATTTTAATTTTTTATAATTCAAATACATGAAAATTTTTGCCCTTTTGCTCTCATTGCAGGTTCAGGTGAATTCAAGGAACACAGCATTAATTCTCTAACACAACTGCATGTGTCTTGGAAAATTTAAAATAGAGCAAAATGTGTGAAATGGCAAAAATAACATGGGATGAAAATAACTCTGTAGACAGTAATATCTTTCAAAATTAAATTATATCTTGTTTATTTTTAAAGGACCAACAAAGGCAACTAAAGAAAGGGCATTCTTTTAACTAACTTAAAAAAGAACTCTGCCAGCTTACTTATAAGATAGTTGCAAATTCTTGTTGACATGTATTGCACATCTCTGGTCATAACAGTTCATTGTGTTAAATACGAAAAAAAAGAAAAAATGAAATAAAAAGAATCCCAACTGGTTTGCAATTGTTTAATATTTGATTTTCAGCCCAGGCTCAACAAAGGCTTGGGGACAAAGAACACAACTACTGTAAACCAACTTTTATTCGCGTGCGAAAAATATTCGCGTGTTGCGTAACCTACATTTACTCGCGAATATTTATTGCCGCGAACCATTTATTTTGCTTTGTATTTATATAGAATGTTTCCTGAGTCATGGAAATTAATCATTGCAGATTGATTTTAAACTGACGAATCGCGAATAAAAGATGACGCAAATAATAGTTGGTTTACAGTATTTGGATTAAAATCGTTATGCAATCACAAAACCATGGAAGATAAATACATTATCATGTATGTATCTATATAGACATATCACACATTTCCCAACAGTGATGTATAACGTGTGACGCAGACTTCATGAGTGAATCTGTATGCTTACTGGAGAACTAAAACAATGTCCAAACTTTTTTAAACTGTATGAAATTGATCAAACCTCTTTGATAAATCAAGATCACATGTGAATAACACAAAGACAGAATGAGAGAGCATCTTTATCATCCTATACATGTATTTAAATTTTCAGAGTCATCCGCATGATGCAGTGTTTACACTGTATAGGTTTTACTCTAGAGTCGCAGAGTAATGAGTTGATCTTTATGTCATGGGTTTGAATCCACTGACATGGAGACTGGTCCTTTGGATGAAAGTGTATATAAACCAAGGTCCCATATCACAGTAGATGCTTGTATGAAAAAGATCCCTCATTATTCAAAGCTGAGTAAAGGTCTAAATTTACAACCCTCCACTGGAAGTGGTGGCATCTCAATACGAACAAAAAATTTTGAAGGGATGTTAAAGAAGCAAACAAACATTTTCAAATGTTTTGATCAAGATATAACTTGAAATAAAGAAAAAAGCTTTATCTCTTCATAAAGCCAATTGCTCATCATGTGATGGAACTGCCTTCTCACAGTGCTTGGCACAGTAATTACAATGGGCAGGGCTTAATCAAAATCAGTTAGCAACACCTTCTCTTCAGATTTGTGGGTCTTGATGCAACATTGAGAAAAAGAAAGCTTATAACATTATCAAAGCAAAAGCATTGATACCAATATGTTCCTTGTAAGTTTAGCTTTAGATGTCAGGAACAAGATACATTCTGTAAGTCTATGAGGATCATTCTTAAAATAAGTGACTTAAATGGGAATGAACTTTTGCAAAATTGACATCATTTTGTTTTAATTAAATCATTTCTCTACAGGAGTTTCTAGTTCAGACTGAGGGGGTGGAATACTACTTTTCTTTATTGTTGTAGGAGGTTGTTAATAATTTTTCACATTATAGTGGGTGTGGGGTATGATTTATTAATTACATTCACTGTCAAGTCCATTGTCATGAGTAATAGGTTAGTACCATATGATGACGACATCTTTGTGTTGAAGGTTTATTTTAATGTAATTGTCATGAAATAAATATAGAATACACCAGTTTTTGTGAATTCATAGCCTATATTTTCGTATCTTGGTCTAAATGACTTTTAGTGAAGGCCTATCTACTGTAGAAAAAGTTTAGTACTTGAAAGGTTATTAAACAATTGAAATTTTATTTTATCAATGTAATTTTCTTCACTTTGTTTTGAGGATATAAGCTTAAAACAAAAGGATGTGCATGCTAATATTGTTTTTGTTTAAATGGGACAATAATACATGCTGCAATGAGTGCTGACCAATGATGCAAGAATACTGACGACTTGATACATAGATCTTACAATGTTTGTTTTGCTTAAAACTTGGGCCTTTTGGAGTTAAGTTTTCCTTTTTTGGACAAATTAGGCATTATATTTCTAAAGCCTATAAAAATCATAGCCCACCACTGTTACTTTGCAAGTCTCTAACACAGTAAATCAAATAAGGTCTTATGACTATTGTCTCCCTAAAGTTCCTTCCAAGAAAGAATGGTCTTGGTGACCTAGTTGTACTCAAATTGAATTGGATTATTTAATTGTTCAAAATTCCTTTAATCTTTCCAAAAGCTTTCTGTTCTTCAATAACATCATAGAAATGAAATATTTTTTGGGGCAAATTTGGTCTAGAAGATCTAATCTTCCAAAAAATATGTTGAAAATTTCAAGTGTCTCTATACTATGATCTCCAGTATATCACTTATAGAACACACCCAAGATAAACTGACCCATTTCTTGACATTTAAATGTCGTGCCACAGAAAATTGGTGTTAATAATGGAAAATGTCTTTCATATCTTTAGCAAATGGAATTATTCTTACATCTATAGTAAATGATTGGATAGAGTATGACGTAAAAGAACATTAATTTGTATTATACCTGAAGATGAATATATATTAAGACAAATTAGCACTTACCATTGGCAAAAAAAATTCTCTCTAAAAACTGGGACACTCACATTGACATTTCTAACAAGTACTATATTGCAGACTTTCTTTTTTTTTAGTGAGGGATTGATTAAAAATTTCAAGTCTCTTGGTAGTGGGTTGTTTTGTTTTTTTTTAATTTTTTATGCTTTATATAGGTATGGTGGGGGATCATTAAAACTACTGGCATTCCACCCTATTTGAATAATTTTAAGAGGAAGTGCCCATATCAGTAGAGATTTTTCATGAGTAGAAGTACAAAAATGTACCTGATTTCCAAGACAGAGCCTTAATATTGGTTCCGTCATCACCATAATATATGACATCACTCCTCACAGCTATTCCTCTAACTCCTCTACAACACAAATATGATCCATCTGTTGACCTTATGTTGCCAGACTCAAAGACACAGTGAAAACGCTTGTCCCTTATCTCGTATACTTTGATGAGTCCATCCACTGATGCAGAGTATAGATATGTATCATCAACCTGAAGAAACAACCAAGTTATACATACATATAAATAAATAATAAGTGTTCATTTCATTCTTTACTGATGAATCTGGCTAATGTATGCACATGTACATGATACGCAAATATAAACACAAGAGGCCCAAGGGCCTCATCAGTCATCTAAGTAACCAATATTACCATTCAGCAACATTTGTTCAGCTCATCCTAAGGTTGTGGTCATAGCCTCTCCCAAGTCTTAAAACAATGAATCATTTTTCTTCCAGAAACCTTATAGTTTCTATTTATACACATTTAAAAGTATAAATTTTTAACATATTGCAAATCTGCATAATATATAATTTCTATTTTGTACCATAGAAACCATACCTACCAATCATAAGCAAAAAAATTATTAAATACACTGTATATTTTTATTATTACAATTATTACTTTACTAGCAATGCAAATTTAGAAATCTCAATGATAAATCTGTCAGTACTGGTATAGAAACCAGACCCTTCTACTTTCCAGCTAGAGACTAACATCAAGCTTCCAAAACTTCATAGCACATCTACATGACCTAGAGCCAATCAAAAAAAATTTGGATGCCGTTAAAACTTGGAGGAGATGCATTGAAATTATAGGTTAGGAGCCAAGGTATATAAAAAAAAATCTGACCATTCCTATAACGTACAGACATTTAATAAAATGTGGCCTATATGAAGGTCATATACGCGAGTCAGATAACCTATAAAAAACTTATCTTCACGTAATTTACTGGGAATGTCATGTGAATCAATGTGATATTTAACCTATATATTAACACTCTAAGTGTATCTTATTAACACATATATCAGTTCTTTTATAAAGTCATTATGGTTTTAACAGGTAGTCTACATGTCAGAGAGCTCACCCAGTGACTTTTCTGTATGTAACTGTTACATTGTATCTTGTTAACACTTCCATCCTGTTCTTATTTATAAAGCCATTATAGTATTAACAAGTAGTTCTCATGCCAGAAGGCTCACCTGAGCCATTTTACTAAAACTGCAGATGTTAAAAAAAATATGTCTCTGATAAGACTGTAGCTCTACTGACTTCAATTTTTAAAGGTTTCAATGTTGTAATTGGAGTTGTATCATTTCTTTGAGTTTTGCATTAATTTTACAGATTTATATATATCATGATGTTTCTAAACTTGTACTTATTGAAGTTTAATTCAAATCAGGTCAAAAGTGTTGGAAGAATACAATTTTGAAAGATTTTAAGAGAATTCACATTTAATTAACCAAAGCAACAGTTAATTTTGATATCAAAAATGGATATACCGTTCACGGTAGCTCAGTCAGAAGAGTGCTCGCTTCCTGATCGGGAGGTCGTGAGTTTGAATCTCAGCCACGACTGACCTAAGTTGATAAAAAAATGGGTAGCAACTGTTCCTTCGCCATGCGCTCGGCACTTTAAAGTGAAAGTTGCGGTCCTTCGGATGAGACTTTAAAAACCGAGGCCCCGTGTCAGAGCAGACATTGGCACGTTAAAGATCCCTCACTGCTCAATGGCCCTAAGTGCCAAGTAAAGGTCAAAATTTGAAGCCCTTCACCAGTATATGGTGACGTCTCTGTATGAGTGAAAAATTCTCGAATGGGATGTAAAACAACATACAATCAATCAATCAAAAATGGATACAATGATTTTTTTCTTGAGTTAGTTTACCTGTTAATAATAAAGTTTTATTTATTATAGACCAAAACTGTAAGAAGAGTATCATTTTCAATGAAATTATTTTTTTTACTTACCAAAGCAACAGAATTTGCTGACACCGAAGACTGTGACAGATTGAGTTAAAACTTGATGTAATATACTTTAATTCTTAGGGACTGACCCCATTTTTTTCATAAGTAATGCAGAAAAAAATTATGAGCAGGTCCATTATGAAGTAATAATAGGTTGTACATATACAGGTGTATTACATGTGACCTATATTTTTTTCTGACAGATTGAATGGATTTAAATTTTTGGAATACAGTAAAACCTTGTTATCTTGAACTTAAGGGGACTGAGAATAAAAACTGCATGATAACTTTGGATTCAAGATATCAAGGTTGAAATACATAAAGAAAAGATGATTTAAACTTCCAACACACTTTGACATATCCAAGGTATTCAGGATATTGAAGTTAGAGATACTCAGTGTAACTGTATGTCCATTGCTTAGATCCTACAACACTTACATGTACCTTGAATGAACTTGCATGGATGATTACACAGATGAACACTGTCTACATTGTTCCTGTGCTGCATGTCACATATTTTATCTAGAAGAGTAAACAAGTATTAGCTTTCCTAAAAAGCTTGTCTGACTTGAGCAAATTTATTTTTACGTGAAGAATCAAGAAAAGTTAAATCCAGTGTAATCAACATGACTCTGAGTCATGAAATGAATTCTTTTGCTAAGAAACAAAAAAAAGTTCAATTCAGCAGATTCAGAATTTTTCCTTGAAAGTGTCCATCCTGAACCGAAAATTTCTGAAGTTTCTTCCAACAGGCCTGTTCATGGATACAAAGATATAACCAGTGCTTTTAAATCTAAACATCAATCTGTGAACAATTTTGATAATTAAGAAATGTTTTATTAAAAAACAAGAGGCCCAAGGGCCTTAACGGTCACCTGAGTATAATACAACAATTTAGAAGTTAAATACACTGATAGATGAAGCACTGTTGCCCTAGCCCCCCCCCCCCTCCTCAAGAACCCCAAAAACTGAGGCCATATATTTAAAAATTTTGGAAGAGGCATCCTTGTCTATCATAATCATGCACTTAGTTTGTTTGAATAATCTCCAGTAGCAGAGAAGAAGTTTTTCAAAGAATCAATGCATTTTCACTATATAATCAATAGAGCCCCGCCCTAACACCAGAACCCCTGACCCTGGGGCCATGAAATTCACAATTTTTGAAAAGGCATCCCTATGCGTTTAAATAGTCTCCAGTAGCAGAGAAGAAGATTTTCAAAGAATCAATGCATTTTCACTATATAATCAATACAGCCCCACCCTAACACCAGAACCCCTGACCCTGGGGCCATGAAATTCACAATTTTTGAAAAGGCATCCTTATGCATCATAACCATGCACTTAGTTTGTTTAAATAATACCCAGGAGCAGAGAAGAAGATTTTCAAAAAATTAAAGCATTTTCACTATATAATCAATACAGCCCCGCCCTAACACCAGAACCCCTGACCCAGGGGCCATGGCTTTCACAATTCTGGAAGAGGCCCACCTCCTCATCATAACTATGTACTTAGTTACTTTATTAAATACCCAGGAGCAAAGAAGAAGATATTCAAAGAATTAATGCTTTTTCACTATATAATTTATAGAGCCCCGCCCTAACACCAGAACCCCTGACCCTGGGGCCATGAATTTCACAATTTTGGAAGAGGCACTCTTGCTCATCATAACTATGTACTTAGTAACTTTATTTAATACCCAGGAGCAGAGAAGAAGATTTTCAAAGAATCAATGTATTTTCACTATATAATCAATACAGCCCCGCCCTAACACCAGAACCCCTGACCCTGGGGCCATGAATTTCACAATTTTGGAAGAGGCACTCTTGCTCATCATAACTATGTACTTAGTTCCTTTATTTAATACCCAGGAGCAGAGAAGAAGATTTTCAAAGAATTAATGCATTTTCACTATATAATCAATACAGCCCCGCCCTAACACCAGAACCCCTGACCCTGGGGCCATGAATTTCACAATTTTGGAAGAGGCACTCTTGCTCATCATAACTATGTACTTAGTTCCTTTATTTAATACCCAGGAGCAGAGAAGAAGATTTTCAAAGAATTTATGCACTTTCACTATATGATCTATATAGCCCCACCCTGGGGCCAGAACCCCTGACCCTGGGGCCATGAATTTCACAATTTTGGTAGAGGGCTCAATGCTTATTACAATGATGCCAACAGTTTGACTGCTTCATGTCCAGGAGTAAAGAAGAAGATTTTTAAAGATTGCATTATTTTTGGTGGTTTTAGCCCCACCCCTCAGGCCCTGGGGGGCAGGGACCATGAAATTCACAATTTTTGTTCCCCTTCACCCATAGATGCTATATACCAAATTTGGTTGAAATTGGTTGAGCGGTTCTAGAGAAGAAGTTAAAAATGTTCAAAAGTTAACGCACGACGGATGACGCACGACGACGGACAAAAACAGATAGCAATAGGTCACCTGAGTGACTCAGGTGACCTAAAAAATAAACGTGTTATAAATAAATTAACATTTTTGCAGTTAAGCAAAAGAACATTCAACACATGTCTTTCACTTTTATATTTTTTTTTAACTATGAAGAAATCAAACGTCTGCAAGTTATCAATATGTTAGATTTATAAAAACTCTGAAGGTAGAGAGACTTAGTATGCATTGAATATTTATAAACATTCATTAGTTAATCTGATAAAGATAATCAACAAATGTTGACCTGACCAGCTTCATTCCTTTGTTTTGCTGGACATGAATGATGCATTCGAGAATGGCCAAATGTTATATAACCTGTAATGTATAATGTGATAATAATGACACCAGCTATAATGCTCTGGCTTGTTTGGGTATTTAGCATGTTTTCTTTACTCGTCATGCTCTCAAAATTGATAGTGAAGATAGTACGAAGTTTCCAAGATCAAGTTATCACAAGAATTCTATTGAACGACTTGACCAACAAACCTTGGCTAAATCTAATACTGTCTGACGCCATGACGTCAGACAATAAACCTCTTAGAAGAAGTCCTATTCCCTAGCAAATATAAGTCCAACAGTGAAAAATCTTGAACAGATATTTCATCTAGGAACAACTCAGTAATGACCCAAACCAAAATATTTTTTAACAAACTACTAATAAAACATCAACAAACTACCAACAAACTATACTTTTATGATTTGTTAAAGTAGTTTGATAGTATAGCATTTAATGAAACACCAACAAAACACTGTTTCTAAAAATAACTGAAGTGGTTTGTTAGTCTTTCATTTCTGCTGATTGTGATTTCTTTATAGTTTGTTAGACTTGGTATCTTGCAACAGTGTTTTCTTTGTATAGCATTTGCATCGAACCACATGGGAAATTATTTACAGGCATGTTTAGGGTTGAATTATCTAGAGTTGTAAAAGTTTCCAAGAACGGCTTATCTCTTTACATCCGGTGTTAGACTATTTGCGCCAATTTTCAAACAACCAGCAGGTCAGAAACAAAGGAATTGGGGAAGGGACATACAAATTGTTAGTATATACTAGGTCCCTGATTGGAGAAAGCAGCAACAATATATTAAAGCATGGATCTGGATACAGAAGAGGTATTTATTATATGACATTAAGTTCTTTTTGACCTCAAATAAGACCGGGCTACACTTCATTGAATGTGGATATGTATGTTTTTATTGGGTTTTTATTTATTTTCAGACTGACTTGTAATCCCTATACTAGCTTAGATAAGTTTAGTACTGGATTAAGTGATGAATACTTGAAAATTAGACAAGAAAAGATCTTACAGAGTTGCAATAAGGCAAGAAAAAAGAAGAAATTGCAGCATTTTCCATACCAAATGAAGCAGGGAATATTTAAATGTCAGTTAAAATACAATTACATGAAAAACATCTTTTTTGTGAAAAATTCTATGAAGATGTGATTGGAGAATACGATAAGTGGCTGTCAACTTGAGAATAACATCTCCTAACTAAAGGAACTTATAGTGTTTAATGTCGGAATGTTGCACTAGCTTGCATTGACTAAACTTGTCAATCCTGGAATTTAAAATACTCTGAAACAAGAAGCGTTGAACATTTCAAAATGTGACTGTGTTTAGATGTTTCTAAAGACTTGTGGATTTGTTATGAAAATTCAAATTTAGTGTTTTGTTGATGATTTGTTACCAGTGATTTGTTAGTAGCTTGTTAGAGTGATTTGTTAGTAGTTTGTTAGAGTGATTTGTTAGTAGTTTGTTAGAGTGGTTTGTTAGTAGTTTGTTAGAGTGGTTTGTTAGTAGTTTGTTAGAGTGATTTGTTAGTAGTTTGTTAGAGTGGTTTGGTAGTAGTTTGTTGATATGGTTTGTTAGTAGTTTGTTGATGTAGTTTGTTCATGGTTTGTTATAGTAGTTTGTTAGCTCATTTGCATGTGATTTGCTATACTATTAAACTACTTTCAAAACACAGTGGTTTGTTAGTAATTTGTTATAGTAGTTTGTTTGCCCTTTTTTTCCGTATGGGGAGTATAAAATTGTAAGAAAGGGAGTTGTTGTAATATAAATTGTAGCAGACAAGTATTTAATTTTCAACACACTTACACATTCTCTTGTTTACTGACCCTGAATGCTTCAGATGCTTCAGATGACCTATACTTTCTAGTCAAATATTTTTGAAAAAGAGAAAAGAAATCTTACCAGCCTACATGGATTATTTCTCTAATGATGAATAAAAGTAATAATACTTTAAATCATCCAAATTTAAATTGTCAAAATATACTGAATCATTTAACCCTTTTCCAGTCAAAGAACAAACTCCTGACAGTGTACATATACATGTGACTACATGTAGGACTCCTGACAGTGCATATATACATATGACTCTGATTCCTGACAGTGTACAAATATACATGTGACTTATGATTCCCGACAGCATACATGTTCATGTGAATAGGAATCTTGACAATGCACATATACATATGACTAGGACTCCTGACAGTGTACATATATATGTACCAGTAACTGACTCCTGACAGTGTACATATACATGTGACTAGGACTCCTGACAATGTACATATACATGTGACTGATTCCTGACAGTGTACATATACATGTGACTAGGACTCCTGACAGTGTACATATACATGTGACTAGGACTCCTGACAGTGTACATATATTTGTATACACATGACTCTGATTCCTGACAATGTACATATACATGTGACTGACTGTTGACAATACAATAAACATGTGAAAATGACTCCTGTAATGTGCCTGTGCATGTGAAGAGGACTCCTGACTGTGTACATACACATTTGACTGACTCCTGACAGTGCACATATTCATGTGACTAAGACTCCTGACAGAGTACATATACATGTGACATGATTCCTGACAATACACCTGTTTATGTGAGACTCCTCATAGTGCATATATACATGTGACTATGACTACTGACAGTGTACATATTCATATGATTATCTATCCTGACAGTGTACATATACATGTGACTAGGATTCCTGACATGTTACCAGGGTTGTCCCTAAGAATTGAAATAGCAGAGGATATTAAAGAAGTAAAAGGGGGTCTGGGGTTCCTCCCCTAACACAGGGTTAAAGGGGAATACCAGAATAGCCAGGGAATTACGTCATTATAGGCAGGGAAATTCCCTGGCCCCCGGATCTTAGAGACAACCCAGCTGTGTGATTATGTTTGTTTGTTGTTTAACGTCCCTCTCAAGAATTTTTCACTCATATGGAGAAGCCACCACTTGCCGGTGGAGGGCTGCAAATTTATACCTGTACTCGGCACTCAGGGCCATTGAGCAGTGAGGGATCTTTTTCTTGCCAACACCTACTGCGACACGGGACCTCGGTTTATACGGTCTCTTCTGAAGGACTGGTCTCCACGTCCCGCAGTGGATTCAAAGGATCGTAAGGATCAACTCCTTACTTCGCGACTCTAGAGCAGACGCTCTAACCACTGTGGCACGCGGGCGACGTGTGATTATGACTACTAACATTGCACATATACACATGTACAGGTGACTTTGACTCCTCACAGAAACTATTTGTTCAAGACATTTTGTAGCCTTGGTGTTATAAGTTTTAGCTAGAAAATCCTCACTAAGCTCAGGCGGGCTAGATGTTAAAGGTCATTATGGCCAATATGGAAAATCAGATTTCTAAGTTAACTGTATTACTTGTTAATGAGAAATACCAACTGAAAGGTTGAAAAGAAAGATCATTTACTGTGACGTCATTTTGTGCTAAGCAAACCGCAGACAACTCAAAGTCTAATTGAACAGTTATGTGACTTCATGCCAAAGGACAAGGAAAATCCAATTGATTTGATCTGTGAAGTCATGGACCTTACAATGTCAACCTAGTGTTAACAAGAACAAATTTTCTCATAACACAAAGGTTACTCTCCCTTCCTTTGATCTACTTAGAAAAAAATGGGTCAGTAGGTCATTTAACGATAAAAGACACAGAAAAAAAATGGGTCAATAGATCATTAAATAATAAGACTTTTAAAACGTTAAAATTTATTAACATACTAACATGCAAAGAAAAAGAGCATACACAGAGAAATACTTAATGCGAGAATGTAATACTAACATTTGATGAGTAATGATCTAGTATACGCAATAAAATATACTCATGGTTTTTCCTCACGTACACCATAAATATAGAAGAAAGTGCAACTGCCAACATTTTTGTCAATCCAAGAGAGCTATAATATATTGTATTGTAAAAATATCTGACTTAGGATTTTAAAAAAATCTAAAAAAAATTTTGACCAATAATGGAAGAATTAATTCCACTACTTTTTTATTCCGTCCTCCATGATTTTCTGAGTAGAAAGAACATGTTCAACATTTATTACTTAACTGTAGAATTTATTTAAGGTCAGACAACACATTCCTCAAATACATGGTTTGTATCTCTTTATATTATATCAAAAATCATTCATAATTGTCATTCTCTTGATATTTCTAAATTGTTTTCAATACGTTTTAAAAAATAAGCACACCAAAAATTGTGACAACGGCAATTCAAAAGATTACCCATAAGGATTATATAAGAAATATCATCCTCTGGTATCTTGCCAAAATGCCTGGTAAGGTAGCTCAATTTTTTTTTAGGAAACTTGTTTAAGTAGCAATACTTCAATGCCAAATTCTTGGGGAAAATTATATATTTTCGAGGAATGTGTCATCTGACCTTAATGCCAGCTGTGGTATCGATACCTTCAATCCACAACTATGTACCGGATCAGATGTTATATGTAGGTAATCTCATTTTAGTATGCACTGAATTATGGCTTTTTCTCAAGTTATAGTTGATTTGTACTCTTGATTACATCTAAGGATACTGATGAAATGTATATTCATACTAATATAAAGTTGAATGGTTTAAAAATCCAACCAAACATCTTTTTCAAACAAAAGATGACAAACCCTTTCACCTGTGACACCTAATGCAATTCCCGCCAAACTTTACAAACAAGCATAAAAACCCAGTGAGTTTTTTTTTTCTTATGGTGTACAAACCAAACAGGGTTTTCCATGCAAAATGCATGGAAAAAAATGAGTAACTCCCAAAGCCACCACCCCCCTTCCAATTCCACAAGTTTCAGTGTTTGTTCATACATGTCCTTACTTTTCTAAAAATTAAAAATGATTCATTAATTTTCAGTAACTTTTACCTGGACTGCTGACACACTATCCTCAAAAGCATGTAAACTCTGGAGACTTTTCCCAGTCTGGACATCCCACATCTCTAGTTTCCCTCCATCTGTAACAAAACAGAAATCATTATCAAATATCTGTCTTTAAAAAGACATAAACAACAGTCCAAGTGTTATGTGCTGAACATTCTAAGAGGCATAAGATTTTGTATTCAAAGGGATTTCAGGGAAACTGTTTATTGTATTTTTAAATTGAATTTCCCAGTAAAGATAGTGTACATCTGTACTAATATGTTCAAGAGAGAGAGAAACATAGGAGGGTGAGAAATGTCTTGATTGGTTAAGAATCCAATCATTCAATTTTTGTAAGAACAAGACCTTGGATCATTAGAAATAAACTCCAATTATTCAATGTATATTGTTTATTATACTCCAACAGGAATTCTTGTAACATCCTTCTTCTCAGAATTTCCAGCCAGACATATTACACAGATAAAATTGATATTTATTGTTTACTTCAGTAATTGATGTGAAAAAAATAATTTAATCTATAGGAAGAGTACAGTTGTATTCTAAAACAAACCATATATATGGAAAACCAAATTTGCTTCCCTTTAATTATCTTAAATATTATGAATTTTCAGACCGACATGAAAAGTATTTTTCTAACTCTATTTGCTCTTACAGAAGAAACTACTTATTAGGTCATTTCAGGAGTTGTCATTGATAAATCTCCCATCTGTCTTCCTGTTACCAGCAGAGTATCTTAAGAAAACAATTCTTCTTTTAAATTCTGATTTCATAGTTAAGACCCTTTTAATTAATCATAATTTGTGTGTGAGACCTTTAATCATATATAATTTTGCAATTCTTCTAAAATATGTCTCAATGCAAAAAAACAAAGTTCCACGTCAACAATAATAAGTTGGAATAAGAAGTAATATTTTGTTAAATTGGGAATTCTAGGAGTTCATCATTCCATACTCTCTGTAGATATGGAAAACAAACATGAATGAGTCTATTTAATTATCATTCAGTCTCCCATCTTGTGGGCAGGTTCACACTTGTATTAGACTATTACCTGTTTACCGGTATACACCTTCATCATTAAAAATTCTTCATCATATCTTGTATAACTGTAGCTATATCCAAAGAGGGATAACTCTATGTAGTGATAAACTTACCGAGATAAGCATGTTGTAGAGACTGCATATTATTTTAATTAAAACCTGTGATGTAATGGAAAATGTCCATCTTAACAGTTCAATCACTAATATGTGTGTTTGCGTGTGCCGATGATTTTTAAACAAAATCTTAATTTAAAAATAAACCTCTATAAGATAATTAACATATAAATTTTGTCCTTACTCATTTTCATGGGGTCATGGTTTGTTGAAAACTTACTGGTTAAAGGGGATCTGACTTTGTGGTTAAAGGAGAAACATTATACTGCAGTGAGCAGTTTTCACATTTCAGAGGGGGGGGTATATTTATGAACTCATTGGTCTCTTCATACCATGAAAACAACAAAAATTACCCTCCCCCCCCCCCCCCCCCAAAAAAAAATACTGATTTCGCAGTAACTTAAATATGCATTGTTAAAGTGTTCAGACTGACTGACTATATATACCGGTAGCTATATAGCTATAAATCTTTTGAGAAAAAAAAATTGAAATTATTTTCCAAACAATATCCAGTATCAAACTTTGATTGCCTATGGCTTTAATTTACAATTCAAAAGAATACTAGCATATTTTAATTTTTTTTTTAAACCTTATCCATGCATTCTAATGTAAAACCTTATATCCACTATTGCAGAACCTAGTCCTGGGGGCCATGACATGAACAAATTTCATTCTAAATCATGAATACATTCTAAACTAGAATTTCAAAAGTGAATTACCTGAGCCCGTTATGAAGACTTCCGCCACAGGGTGGTAGGCCACTTTGGTTACTGGACTAAATGTGTAGGTGGATCGCAGAATTTTTCCTAAAACAATGAGAAATATATATAAAGAGCTCATTGAAACTACACTGTATCTTTATCTTGATTTTGATTTTTAAAAAGAGATAAAATTTGTAAGGTATGAATCTCTGCTTATTATACCATATTATACAATCACATAAAAGAAGATTAAATAAAGTAAATATTTTAATCACATTTTACAATATGAAATTAATTTTACCGGTACAACAAAAGACCTATTAATTGTCACAAAATGAAACTTCTCACAACCTCTTCACATAAGAAGATCAGATGTATTGAAACAGATTTTTTTAATATACCCTGCAATTCAATTTTTATTGCATTTCATTACCTTTTGCAACATATCAAATTTTAAAGAGACATTATGTCCATCTATACAGAAAGTTAACTGAAAAGGTGATTGAACATGCTCATTTCGGGTGTAAATTGTGGAAAATGTATATGCAAATGTTTTTTTTATTACAATTTTTGAAAACCAGATTTCTTAAGTCCAGCAATTTTGAGAGAACCTAAAGAAATTTTGAGAGAACCTGAAGAATTACGAATCATGACAACATACCTGTGGCACTACACCAAAGTTTAAAACTGCAATCTGTGGATCCACTTATAATTATAGCTCCCTCTGTCTGGGGGATTCCACTTACTTCACCTACATACATTACAGGATTATTTATAACAGAACCATACAAGGCATTACAGAACAATTTACATGTACATGTACACAATCAGATATATTGAAAAACTAAATTCACAGAATACTAAAAATATGTTCAAACATGTAGGTTATGACATATACAAGCAAAAAAGATTTTCAAGAAATACTATAATCTACCATTCTTACAAATGTTTCAGTTATAAATCAGACTTACAAACTTTAGTGGTGTATTCAGCAGTGAGCAGAACTACAGTGTTAACAGACCCTGTATGTCCCCCAAAACTTCGTACCTCCCTCATCTCCTCCAAATTCCACATCTTCACAGTTGTATCTCGACTATCAAGTACAGACAAACACACTAACAATAGATTATACCTTCATGTAAATCAGCTCAATCTGATTCTTCAATAAACATATGATAAAAAATACTGTTACCCTCTGAATGATGAAACCATGCCCTCTACAGTGATAGAACATAGCAGCAGTCAATATTATTTAACAGCAGGTGATATTCCAAAACAAAAATGTTGACTGTGCTGAATCTATGTGCACATGGTTAATGTTATATGTATTTGTATAAACCATTTAGAAAACTAGGTAACAAATATTGCATGTATATAGCTGCATGAGGGTAACATTGAAAATTTTCACCCCAAGAAAACCATTGTCAAGAAAAGAAGTAAGCACAAGATTAAGGTATTTGTCATCTGAATTTTTCTACAACTCATGCTATATCATATACTATTCTAGGATTCTGTTTCATGTTTTCATTTTGTTTTCAGGTTAATTCAAAGTACACTGCATGTGTATACTTATTCCTTATTCATTCAAGTGTAATATTCATCATTAAGTAACAAACAATTTAATGCAATCACAAATTTTGCATTTGTATTTCTATTCATTAAGTTAATATACAATAAATTATACTTTGGCAGTATTTATGAATTATAGTGCTAAAAGGCATCAAAATTCGTCTCCCACTAAAATAGACCTCATACAGTATTTACACGTATGTACCTGGCTGTCACCAATGTAGTGCCCTGTAAGTCAGAATCTGTAATGAGGTCATTGTGACCTTCTAATTCTGTCAAATAAAACACACCATCTCTCCAACTGCTCACACTAAAAAAGGATGGAGCTTCTTCTACAATAAAAGTAATAATGTTCAAATAATAATATGTTAAAAAAAAATCAATGTCATTAAATTCTGCAACATGATATAAATATTAACAGTCACGTTAACGCAGAGCAGAGCATCCCCACACAAAAAAGCACATCGATCCTAGCTGATATAAATTATTACTTGCATAACTTCCATTACACACTCATTCACTTCCCCCCCCCCCCCCCCCCCCAACACACATGCACACCCAAAGCATGTTACTGTATCAACTCCAACTTCATGCATGGGAATAATAACATTCAGTTATCTAGGTACATGTTGAGGGAGAACTCATGAAAAGAACATAAATTAAGGCCAAGTCCCTGATTTGATTAAATTTGGATCTAAAATTTGACTCGTTAGTTATAAAGATCACTTTGTCAAATTATACAACTAAGAAATCATGATCATAACAAAGTTTAATCATAAAATTGCTGTTCTTAAGGAAAAAGAAAAGATTATTAAACAATATTTACATTTCCAAACATTTTTCCTTCAGATTCCTTGCAAATTTGAAAAAGTTCACCTTCTCATGAACTGCAGTGGGATGAGTAAGAATATTTCCATTGTGACATAATTGAAGTCAAAAAATAGTGCAAACTTTTTTTCAAAAAAAAAAAAAAAAAATAGTTGAATGGCAAAAATATGTGGCAAGTCATCAGAAAAATAATGTGAATTTAAGATATGAATTTAATTTTTGAGATTTCATGAAGTAATATTAACGCTTCAAGCCTGCATATTTATCAGAAAGTGCTAACGTGCTTCATGAAATATGTCGGCGTTAAGCGTTGTAGTTCACGTCCTCATGAATTCTCAAAAATTAATTCATCTTGATAGTTTTAAGAATTACATGTATTCCAAAAGATTTTCCATGTACATTCCTTTTTAAAATCTGATATCTTTATTGTGATCTCATACTTAATTAAAGAAAAGACTTTTTTTTTAAAAAATCATTTGCCTATCAAATATTCTGACCCCCTTTTATGACCCCATTAGCAACTTTACTCTATTCTCTATATGAGGTGCTTCCTCATCAAATTGACTAATTATGATCAAACTTTTTAAAAAAAATACCTTGCAGCTTATACTTATCTTTGAAATAAACTAGAAATATGTCCATAGGACATGGATGCCCCGCCAAGGGTATATTAGTAATGCAACATTTTAACACAAATTGAGAAAAGTGAGGTCAAGGTCAAAGGAAAGGTCAAGGTCAAAAAATATTGATGCAGTTGAATAGCTTACATCAGTATGTATCAGCATATGACGTTAGATTCAGAAACTAATTTAAGAAAAGTGAGGTCAAGATCAAAGGAAAGGTCAAGATCAAAAAATGTTGATGTAGTTGAAAAGGTTACATCAGTATGTATTAGCATATGAAGTTTGATGAAAATATTATGAATGGTTTCTTTAAAACTGAGCTAAACACTAATTTAAGAAAAGTGAGGTCAAGGTCAAAGGAAAGGTCAAGGTCAAAAAATATTGATGCAGTTGAATAGCTCTCATCAGTATGTATCAGCATATGAAGTTTGACACTAATTTAAGAAAAGTGAGGTCAAGGTCAAAGGAAAGGTCAAGATCAAAAAATGTTGATGTAGTTGAAAAGGTTACATCAGTATGTATTAGCATATGAAGTTTGATGAAAATATTATGAATGGTTTCTTTAAAACTGAGCTAAACACTAATTTAAGAAAAGTGAGGTCAAGGTCAAAGGAAAGGTCAAGGTCAAAAAATATTGATGCAGTTGAATAGCTCTCATCAGTATGTATCAGCATATGAAGTTTGATACTAATTTAAGAAAAGTGAGGTCAAGGTCAAAGGAAAGGTCAAGGTCAAAAAATGTTGATGCAGTTGAAAAGGTTACATCAGTATGTATTAGCATATGAAGTTTGATGAAAATATTATGAATGGTTTCTTTAAAACTGAGCTAAACACTAATTTAAGAAAAGTGAGGTCAAGGTCAAAGGAAAGGTCAAGGTCAAAAAATATTGATGCAGTTGAATAGCTCTCATCAGTATGTATCAGCATATGAAGTTTGACACTAATTTAAGAAAAGTGAGGTCAAGGTCAAAGGAAAGGTCAAGGTCAAAAAATGTTGATGCAGTTGAATAGCTCTCATCAGTATGTATCAGCATATGAAGTTTGATAACACTATCTGGAATGGTATTTTTAAAACTGAGCAAAAAACTTATTTAAGAAAAGTGAGGTCAAGGTCAAAGGAAAGGTCAAGGTAAAAAATATTGATGCAGTTGAATAGCTCTCATCAGTATGTATCAGCATATGAAGTTTGTTAAAAATATCTTGAATGGTTTCATTAAAACAGAGCTAAACATTAATTTAAGAAAAGTGAGGTCAAGGTCAAAATAAAGGTCAAGGTCAAAAAAATGTTGATGCAATTGAATAGCTTACATCAGTATGTATCAACATATGAAGTTTGATTACACTATCTTGAATGGTATCTTTAAAACTGAGCTAAACACTAATTTAAGAAAAGTGACGTCAAGGTCAAAGGAAAGGTCAAGGTCAAAAAATGTTGATGCAGTTGCATAGCCCTCATCAATATCTATCAGCATATGAAGATTGATAAAAATATCTTGGATAGTTTCTTTGAAACTGAGCTTTGAACAGAGCTAAACGCAAAGTGTGACGGAAGGACAGACGGAAGGACGGAAGGACGGAAGGACAGAAGGACGGAAGGACGGAAGACGGACATGACAAACACTATATGCCCCGGCCATATTCATGGCGGGGCATAAAAATAGATGCACAGAATTACATGTCTTGATGTGCTGTACAGGTAAGTTTACTATTGGGCCAAGTTTTAATGGAATTGGACAGAAACTGTAAGTGGAATAGCATTTTGAAATAACCTGTAGTTGACAGACAAACAACTAGATAGATGGATGAAAGTCATACTGTATAGAGGGGAAAATAACTCGCGGTGTTAAAATTCGCTATATTCACGGTAATAATAAATCCGTGAATTCAAGAAACAGTGAATAAAATTTCAATAACCTCCATGTTATATTTGGAAATTTGAGAATAAACTATGTTAGGTATATACGTACATATACATACAGTACATGGTCATTCAGTAATTATGAGTAGTACTTGTCTTTCAATTATTTTAATTATTACGCTTTACTTTAATTCAAATCAGCAGAAAATAATCTGTATATGTTAAAATGATGTTTTAATAGCCAACGTTATACGTTTCATAAATCAAAAAACATGGGTAATGGGTTTTGATTACCCGTGCCCAACTATGTTATCATGTGTATTTGTTACCTGATTTATCAATGATGCACATTAGTTTTTATCAACATTTTGGTTTTTAAAAATCATTCAAATAACTATCGAACTTGCTGAAGATGTGGAAGGATATTATTTCATCGATCTACATTAACACATTTCTTACCATCCAGTGGTTTTTTTCGCAGCGATGTATTACAGTGTATCCCTTCGGAAAGAAGATATTGGGGTGTACATGCACTCATCGTAATAGCATATACATGTAGGAAAGGCATTCGACGTTTATTGTCAAGGACTTTTAATAACTGCACTTGTTTTAATTAATCGTCAATTTATTATTAAATCTAACTATTTTATATAAACCTACCCTGTTGTTCGTGAAGTGAATATATAACACTGATTAATGTCATTCTAACTATGCTATAGATTAAACAGATATAGACAAGAGAGGTAACTTTTATTATATACCAATTCCGTGAATTCAACAAACCGCGATCGCGTCAGAGGAGAGAAAAACGTGAAAATTACAACCCCTGAAATCAATCCCCTATACAGTAGTACTAATGCATAAGCTCTTCTGGTCTCTTACTAGCTGAGCTACAAATTGGGGACGGGGGGATAAGAAGCTCACCTGACTGACTCTTTGTTTTCTTGCTCTTCTTAGTTTTTGTCTTTTCTTTGGGGGGACTACTTTCATGGTCACCATTAGAATGGATGGACTCTCTAGGGGACACATGGTAAGGACTGTCCATTTACACAAAAATATATAATCAAAAAAATATAAAGCAGTACTATAAAATAATTAATATATCTTTCTTGGTCTAATACCAATTCTATCAAATAGAAATTGTCAATACTTTAGTATATGAACACCATGTAGAGTCACCTACCCAGTAAAACTACGTTGGATGGAAGGTTAATAGATTAACATGATATGCTTTTGGTATTAAAACTTTTAAATTTGTATGATTTAGCAAAAAATTGGTACATAGTTTTAGTAAACAATAACCAAGGAACAAGTTAATCTGGCATATGTGGCATAACCATAAATTAGTACAATTAGAACTTTTAAAAAAACTAGAAATATGTCCATAGGATATGAATGCCCCGCCGAGGGTATATTAGTAATGCAACATTATAACACAAATTGAGAAAAGTGAGGTCAAGGTCAAAGAAAGGTCAAGGTCAAAAAATATTGATGCGGTTGAAAAGGTTACATTAGTATGTATTAGCAAATGAAGTTTGATGAAAATATTATGAATGGTTTCTTTAAAACTGAGCTAAACACTAATTTAAGAAAAGTGAGGTCAAGGTCAAAGGAAAGGTCAAGGTCAAAAAATATTGATGCAGTTGAATAGCTCTCATCAGTATGTATCAGCATATGAAGTTTGACATTAATTTAAGAAAAGTGAGGTCAAAGTCAGGGTCAAAGGAAAGGTCAAGGTCAAAAAATATTGATGCAGTTGAATAGCTCTCATCAGTATGTATCAGCATATGAAGTTTGAAAACACTATCTTGAATGGTATCTTTAAAACTGAGCTAAAAACTTATTTAAGAAAAGTGAGGTCAAGGTCAAAGGAAAGGTCAAGGTTAAAAATATTGATGCAGTTGAATAGCTCTCATCAGTATGTATCAGCATATGAAGTTTGTTAAAAATATCTTGAATGGTTTCATTAAAACTGAGCTAAACACTAATTTAAGAAAAGTGAGGTCAAGGTCAAAAGAAAGGTCAAGGTCAAAAAATGTTGATGCAATTGAATAGCTTACATCAGTATGTATCAACAAATGAAGTTTGATTACACAATCTTGAATGGTATCTTTAAAACTGAGCTAAACACTAATTTAAGAAAAGTGAGGTCAAGGTCAAAGGAAAGGTCAAGGTCAAAAATGTTGATGCAGTTGAATAGCTTACATCATTATGTATCAACATATGAAGTTTGATTACACTATCTTGAATGGTATCTTTAAAAATGAGCTAAACACTAATTTAAGAAAAGTGAGGTCAAGGTCAAAGGAAAGGTCAAGGTCAAAAAATGTTCATGCAGTTGCATAGCTCTCATTAATATCTATCAGCATATGAAGTTTGATATAAATATCTTGGATAGTTTCTTTGAAACTGAGCTTTGAACAGAGCTAAACGCAAAGTGTGACGGAAGGACAGACGGAAGACGGACATGACAAACACTATATGCCCCGGTCATATTCATGGCGGGGCATAAAAATCTTAAGATCATATTTCATTGAAAATTGTGAATTACTTTGATTGAAACTGCATGTGCCAATAAAAGGATCTTGCTAAATAAGTACTAATCCATTACATAAAATTTCTTTCAATTTAGACATATCTAGAAAACAGGCCAGGCAGCAAGGGCCTCAGAGAGGAATATGCATCTATACTGTATGGGTGGGTGAAAGGGAAAAGAATATGATAACTCAATTCCAAAAAAAGGAAATTTTAAATATATGAAGAATCTAAATCAATCCTGATGAAATTTAAAGAAATTTCTTTGATAGCTAGAGTGATGTTATTACCCAACTACATAAAAATTAAAGACAATAAAAAATCATATTTTTAATTATATATTTATATCCAGGTATATGTGTATAAATATACATGTTTATTTGGTCCATAATGATGTACTGTAAATCAATTTTATTCACAAGTATTTCTGCGTAATTATGCAAGACAGTGTGCTCGCGAAAATTTCACTCTAGTGTATATAGATATTCCTAAAGATTATATCGAGCAATAACTACAATTCATAAAAATTTAGTCTCACTAATAAGGAGTAAATGACAATCTCATGAAAATAAGTGATCTACAGTATGCATTTTGTTAAATGCCATCCTTCTGTGAAAGCAAAAATCATTCGCAGACAGGGGCGTTAATTAATTGTAATGTGATAGATAAAAGTTAAGTAATGGATTTTCTGTAGCAGGGAATATGTCATAAACCCTGGATTTTCCAACTTTCTGTGCAAAAATTAGAGTCATAGTAGAATGTATGATCTACCACAACTAATTAACTCTAGAATTAAAGAGTAATGGTAACCTATAAGAGACCATCTGTTATCAGCTGTTTCCTCTTTGAAATGTTCTTTGGTGGAAATTAATATACACATGTTTGAATATAAACAGTAAAATCATTTTGCATATACCAGTAAAACAAATCATTGATAACTTCATGTGTTACAAATGGTAAACAAATAGAAGTTCAAACTCTTTTCCTTGTTCAACTTTCTTACTTGTTCAAACTTCCTTACTTGTTCAAACTCTCTTCCTTGTTCAAACTTTCTTACTTGTTCTGCTCAATCTGAGTGCCTGTCTCTGTTATCAGGCCTTGAGCTTCATTTTCATGTAGTGTATCACCAGCTGTGCTGGACAGCTCCTCCACTTGTGGATGGACCTCAGTGGAGGGAGGTGTGGAAACTCCCTCACTCACTTCCACATCCATTGATTCCACATCCACATAGGAATCATCCTCTTCATTTTCAGGGGTGACCACAGTAATGTTAACTGCTGACATTTCAAACTCTTGTACATCTATGAAGATAAAATTTTGAAAGAAAAAAGTGAAATGCACATTAAGATTTATACCATGATTATTTATTCATTGAATTTGCTACAGGAATGTAAAACATTAGATTGATACAAAGTTCAACTTAATTTCAGTCAACCTGAACATTTTTAAACTGTAGGTAAACTTAAGCATATCATAGGATATGTTGACAACCCTAGAAATGTACACATCCATCTATGGTTTCAACAATATTGATTATATAATTGATTTACAAAAACTCTGAGATGTTGACATGGGTAATCTTGCCTGCTTATCCTGACACACATTCATTGTCTCAAGAGTATTATAAAATGATCAGGAATTTTGCTCTCTTATTCATCCAGATGATCTTTCCTGAGTTGTATTAGAAAGTAAGTGAAATCTTGGACACCTTTGACATCATTTTAACTCAGAGATTTTGACATCCTTTTATTTATTTATTTTTTCATTCATTCCTTTATTCAGTTATTTATATACTTATTTTAAAGGGTAGTATTTTGTATTAAAACATTCAAAAATTACTTGTTATCCTCCAAAATAATGTAAGGATAAGCTATCCCATGATGCATTGCGGTTTTCTAAATATGGTAATATAATTTGACTGCTATATTGAATTTTGACTATCTTCCGAAAAGGGAGGCTGGTACCTAGACTTGTCAAAACAAACCTGATGATCCATTGCTGTTATTTGTTATGTTTGACTGCGTAGATGCTTCAAAGCTTTCATTGTCATCTTCAGCAGTGGCCAACAACTGCAGAAGATGCTCACGGATTTCTCTCTTTTTCGATATCTAAACCAAAAGAAAATTTTGCATACTTAAGTTGAAGTGCTTGATGAGACTAGCTCTCCAGGTTTTAAAAATCATAATTGTCAAGTAGACATTGGACTTGCATATACTATTTCTTTTAAACTTTAACATTAACAAACATAGCTCACCTCAATGAATATTATAAGGCAAAGTCTTACACTTAAATATTCTGGTTAGTAAACATTCCTATATGTAACATTTATACAAGTTTGGTCTGTGTAGGATTTTTCGGTACTTTGGAATAGATTTACTCCAAACTTTTTTTCTGTATCAAATGGAAAATGTAGGCAAGATTCAGTATCTGAACCATACCTGGTAGTGTGCATTCCTAGATACATCATCCATGCAAGTTTGGTCATCATAGAAGTATATATTGGCTTATAGTAATTTTAGAATGAGACCTGCTCCATAATCTATTCAGAAGCAAGTCAAGCAATGTGCATCTATGCAAGTTTGGTCCAAGTAGGTCTCATAGTTAATTTAACATAAGACCTGCTTCAAAATCTTCAACCTGGTCACTCATCCAGAAAATGAAGGAGAGATCCAACATCTGAACCAAGTCTGGAAGTGTGCCCTTGGATGTATCATCCATGCAAGTATGGTGCAGGTAAGTCTAATACTTATTTTAGAATGATTCTGTTCCAAAAACTTTAACCTGTTCACAGACCTGGAAAATGAAGGTCAGATCCAGCATCTCAAGCAAGTCTGGTAGTGTACATTGATCCCTAGATGTAACATCCAATCAAGTTTGGTCCAGGTAGGTCTTATAGTTACATTGGAATGAATCTGCTCCAAAAACGTTAACCTGGTCACTCATCTGAAAAATATAGGTCTGATCTAGCATCCAAACCAAGTCTAGTTGAGAGTGCATCTCTAGATGCATCAGCCATGCAAGTTTAGTCACCAAAGGGCAAATAGTTAACTGGGAATATACCTGCTCTAAAAACTTGAACCTTGTCACTCATTTGAACTAGAAATATGTCTATAGGACATGAATGCCCCACCCAGGGCTCATTAGTAATACAATATGAAAATTTGTGTTAGCTAGTGTATGAAGTTAGATAAAAATATCTTGAATAGTTTCTTTAAAACTGAGTTTTATACATACATATAATATATACATGTAGTAGTCAAAGGTCATTGGGAGGGTCAAGGTAAAAGAAAAATTGGACAAAGTTGATAAATTCTCACCAAAAATAATGTATCAGTGCATAAGCTTACATAAAAAAAATATGTTGAATAATTTCTAAGAAACTGAGCTAAACATATATTTGAGAAAAGTGAAGTAAAGGTCAAAGGAAAGTCAAGGTCAAAAAATGTTGATGAAATTGACTACCTCTCTCTAATATGTATCAGCGAATGAATTTTGACAAAAATATCTTGCCAATGATTTGTTTCTTTGAAACTTGGCTAAACACAAATTTGAGAAAAGTGAGGTCAAGGTAAAAGGAATGGTCAAGGTACAAATGTTGATGCAGTTGAAAAGCTCTCATCAATATGTATAAGCATATGAAGCTTGACACAAATATTTTGCATTGTTCCTTTGAAATTTAGCTAAACACAAATTTCAAGTGAAGGTCAAGGAAAGGTCAAGGTAAAAAAAAAATACTGATGCCATTGAATAGCTCTCATCAGCATGTATAAGCATATAAAAATTGAAAAAAATATCTTAAATAGTTTCTTTGAAATTCTTGAAAACACAAACTTGAAGTCAAGGTCATAGGAAAGGTCAAGGTCAAGTGTTGATGCAGTTGAATAGCTCTCACCAGTATATATCAATATATTAGATTTCATTCAAATATCTTGAAAAGTTTCTTTGAAACTGTGCTTAACACTATTATAAGAAAAGTGAAATCAAAGTCACAGGAAGAATAAAGGTTAAAAAATGTTGATGCAGTTTAACTGTATAGGCATATAAGGTTTGATAAAAATATCTCAAGTTTCTTTGAAACTGAGATAATCACTAATTTAAGAAAGCAAGGTCAAGGTCAGAAAGTTTTGATGAAGTTGAATGTTTATCTTCAGTATGTATCAGTATATGAAGTTTGATAAAAATATCTTGTATGGTTTCCTTGATACTGAGCTAAACGCAGAAGGACAGATGAAAGTACTAAAGGACAAAGGACAGAAGACGGACATAACAAACACTATATGCCCTGGCCATATTCATGCAAGCCAGGGCATAAAAATGTAGGTCATACGCGAACGGACTCATGCGAACAGGTAGATAGGGCAAACGTACCCGATACCCCTTGAAAAGGGGGGAGGATCTTTCATAACAACAACATTGGATCCTCTTTACCTAAGGATGCTCTTTTGCTAGTTATATTTTGATTAGCTTAATAAAGTATATAGCTGATTCAAGCTACATAGCTAAATCAAGAGACTGTGCTTGACCTGCTCAGGTGAGCTAAAAAACTTTTAAAATAAGTTCACAAAATGTTTACTTTTGTTAATTCTTCGTCAAGTAAATCACCCTCCTTTCGTTCCAAGTTTTCAATCTGTCTAAGTTTCTTTCTCAATTTCCTTATCTCCAAAGCTGCAGACGTTCTCGATGCCATGCCTAGCCATTTGACTCTCTGTGCATTGCTATGAAGAAAGCCCGAGCTGTTCCGCATAAGATTGCACGAGCTACTTTCTCTTTCCCAAACCGGAAGTCATTCAAATGTTTGCAAAACAACACAAAGCCTCCCATTTGTCATGATTTGATGATACGTAAATATAGTTCATATCCACAGGAACACAGATATGAAAATTTCCAATGAGTTTGTTTAAAAGAAAAGGTATATTCTGCTAATTTAAAAGATTTTGATTGAAAGAAAAGTATTCAAGGATAAGGGGTGGTTGTCAGCTGATATCGAATGACGATTGCCTAAATAAAACTTTGAAAGGAAAAAAGTTAATAAAGTGAAGATCCATTCTTCTTATTTATATTCAGAGACATTTTTGAAGCAATTTGCATAACTTAAAAAACAGAGAAATGTTTTCTGTCTGTTAGTAAAATGTTATGAAGGTGGATTTTGCTAGAGTTTGTGAAAGATTATAGCATTTCATACTGATCATCGCATCGATTGCTGTATAATTATAAATGTCTACCTCCCAGTAGTCGTTTCAAAGGATTCTTATTCCTCCTTTATTTTGTTCTAATCTTATTGATAAAGAAGGTGGTAGTATATTGAAGCATGCTGATTAATTACTTCCTATACCCAATGATTGAAAACTCTGCCGTGATACAGGTTATGTGTACTATGTTTATTACTATGATAGTATATCGTCAGAGGCTTTAAATTCATTATGGCCCTAGAGTCATGTCCCTTTTATTGTCTTTGAGTATCTCACAAGACTGTGTCCACTACTTCAACATGATCGTTAGAAAAATTTTATTTGGATTGCTTTTGTCATAATTTTTACAACTGCAGACAATTATAAAGTCAAAACAGGTAAAAAATATAGAGTCATCAACAAAATTTCATCTCACTTAGCATAAATCCTCTATTACTGCATACGTTCGACAAGAAAGTCGTATATTTTTTCTTATGACCTATTTCAAGTGTATAGGTGCTACTATACGCTTTGTTTACATTATGTCAACAGAAGTCATACATGTATATCCAAATTGGAATTTTTGGCGTTTATAATATCATTTCCGTTGAGGTCATGACCCTAGGAATGTTTTTCAAAATGTCCCAGGTAAACATCCATACTTTGAACGAGATGGAAACAGTCAATAAAAGTATGATTTTTCTAAACGATCAGTTCAATCAAAAGAAAAAAATGTTTATAACTAAGGTATGACTTACAAAATGAAACAGTATTTCAAATTTATTTACAAAACAGACACAACCAAATTAGGGTAACTACTCATGGACCTCAGAGGATATTACATAGGGAAACACATGTATCTAATTTGAGGAAACTACTCATTTTTTTTTTCCTTTGAAGCAAGGCAGCAATTGTGAGATAAAGAGATTTTAACATTTTCTCCTCAGGCCCTACTTCAGTTGAGATTGCACATCAAAATGATATCAAGCAAAACATCACAAAAGAACTATCATCATGTGTAAAGAGAATACAGCGAGAACAGCAGCTGAACTCAGATGGACTGATCCTCAGGTATATTAGCCCTATCTTTAACAGTTATGATCTTGGACAAGTATAATAGGAAAGTCTTTATTTGATGTAGGTGTATTTTGCTACAGATTAATAAATATATTTGCAAATGTAAGGAAGGCCCATTAATCTTTTGAGAAGTCTTTTTTTTTCTTTTCCCATGAATATTATAGAAGTGGTGTTTAAAGTGTCAATGGCTTCAATTCAACACTTTAATTTGTTTTTGAAGAACCTGATTTCTTAAAAGAAAGACACACATTAAATTTGTCATGAAATGGAATTTGTTTTATTTATGACAAGGTTAAATGTTGATACTTGAACTTTACAGCACTGATTCAGCAAATGCTATTTGTAACATTCTGGAGAGTATATTTCTTCATGGCTGCAAGCCACCAGTTTCCAAAAAGGTAACTGAAAGAGAATGCACCACTATTTTTAGGACAAAAGTAATTAAGTATTTTAATTGAATTCTTTGAACAAACAAAAAAAAAAATACATCCAAATTAACATAAAAAGGGGCCTTGTAAAGTGCTTCAGTACAAAAATATTCCATTTTCTTATTCATCAAATAAAATTGATTAAAAAATTGATTACTCGGTATTACAATACATGTATCTTTGTATGATATTACTGTTTGAACCACAATATCACAGTTATGTTTACTACATAAATTACAGATAGCAAATTACATTGGTATAAACCAGGGATATGAAAACGGAGCTCTACAACTTGTAAGTAAAAAAAAACATGTTTTCTGTTAAAAAGCTACTCTTAAGCTAGTATAGTATATTCAAATATCTTACTCTTGTGTCTGTGGAGCTAGAGGATTGAAGTAGAGAATGCCCTGATAAGCTTCATCTTAACAAACCAAGGGTTTCTGATCCACTACTCTCCTCACAAACCCTTGGCTTATCATGCTATCAAGAGTCGGGATTGTTTATGTCATGTGATCTCAAATCTTACTTCATACACAGCTTGGGTCTTTGACAGAAATAAAGGGCATATTCAAAAATTGAGGTATTTAAAGAATAATTAACAAGGAGGGATCAAACGATCTTTATTTGTTATTATGGGTGCAAATCTACATGTATATCTGCAACATAGATTACATATTACATTATGTGCACATCAACTTAATGTATGAATGACATGATAGCTATCTATAGAATGACATTATAGTTTACCTCTGGTTTTCATTCCTGAGACTACAGAGTCTAGATATATCCCAAACGGAGACAATGTCATATACAATAGCACTAGCTGATTGGTCAAATAATATCAATTATAAATTCCAGTCACAACAGGGAAAAATCCTGACTTTTAATAGCACAACAGACCAAGGATTTGTGAGGACAGTAGCGTATCAGGAACTCTTGGTTAGTAAAGATGGATCAGCTTTAGGTGTGACTATTTCAACCCTTTTATCAATAAATATACTACATGAAAACTATATGTATAATCATTTTAACTTTGCCAACCTATTAAGGTACATTGTAACTTCTGTTGTTTTTTTTCACAACTGTAACTATGCTGTATCTCGACTCAATGAATTCTGAAGTCTGAATGTGATGAATTGTACATGCAATATTCTTCGAATTTTTCATTAGATACTGTAAATCTTGTTTTATTTGAGAGAACTTTATTTTGGCATAATCATAAGATACTGTCTGCTCACAAAATTTTCATTCTCGCATATACCTTTATCACGACAATGTAGATGTTTTTATTATTAGAGATAACATGCACCAAATACCAGAATTAATGAAAATTTGTCTCACTTATGTATACAAATAACTTTCTTGTGAAAATAAGAGTCAGGAAAATGTGGTGATTTACAGTAATTTTATCATCAGAGATGGCTACAGAAAGTTTTTCTTTTTATTCTTATTTGTGTATTTATTGCTTTACTTTTCTAGAACTTCTGGTTGTTTTGTGAAAGATTTACTCACAGTGATGTAGTAGCTCAGCTGAAGAGATTGGCTCAAGTGAATACAGAGATTGGGCTGTGCAGAGTAAGTCAACTCGAAATGTAATTAAAAGACTTGAATATTTAATGTTCATTAGCTTACTGTGATCAATTAATTAATTCGATAATCATCATTGTATTTTCTGCCAGGCCTGGATCCGAGTGGCTCTCAATGATGGGTTAATGGAAAGCTATGTCAATGCCATGGTCGCAGACAGAAGATCTCTTGAGTGAGAAAATTTAATTCTGCCCATAATATGCATTGTTGTATATATATGTTTAAAGTTCAACCATCCAATTCTGTAGCAGGTACATTATTTATGAAATATATGTAAATGTACTTGATGAAAAGACTCCTTACTTTTTGTAGGTACTTTTATAGCAGTACATCATATTTTAGAGATCATGAACAACCAGGGATTTTTCTGTCTTACTTAAAAGGTATGCAAAAATAATTATAAGCAAATCTTAATCCCCCTATGTTATAAGTACATGTATTCTGTTAATTCATGTATACTAGCTATTGCATGTATTCTTCTATGCCTTTTCCTAATATCATGGTTGAGATTTACAAACTTATCAATCTAGTAAAGACTATAGTAAATGAATTGCCATACAATAATCAGAGTCTCCTTTTCTGTACCAGGATTGATGTCCTATGAGTTCCAGCTGTCCTACAACTCAAGTGTTCTCAATAACTGGCCTAATTCCTCGTTAGTTCTCGCAGGGCTGATTGATGCTGAGAACACACCTCTGCCTGTCATACACCCTAAGAGAGGTATAATAAACATCTTATTCTATCTGTATGTTTGTAGTTTATCAGCCATTCTCTTGGCTAATATAAATGTGAGTTTACCTGATTTACTTAGATAAACCTTCTTTGATTGTTTCTATAATGACTGATACATACTGATATCCAGTAAAACTCAGTTGTAATGAATTCCTGGAGACCTGGGAATTTGCTTTGCTATATCCATAATTTGTTATATCCGTTAAATGAATTCATTAAAGTATATATAGGGAATTTGCATATTCTTTGTAAATGTTTTTGTTATAGTACTGTATGACTACTGGATATGTTCAGGGAAGTATGAAATATAAAACTCATCCTCTGATGAATTGAATTTCAAATATAAATACACGTAATTACAAAAAGTTATGTCAGTTCAATATTTTAAAGTTTGAGATCTTTTGAAATTCATTTTAAAAGACTTAGATTCCCTTATTCCCTTATTTTATTTTTTAACCTCTACAGGACACAAAATCAGTTCGCTAAAGACATGTATCCAGTAATTCACTTTATCAGATGTCATTATGACTGTAAAATTCTACATTAAGGAACTGTAAAGAATTTTGCTTGGGATAAAAAATAAACTTTGCTATATCCATAAATTTGTTTTCTCTGTCGTTCTAAATGAATTTTACTGTACTTGTAATTTGTATAAACGTTGTATAGCATTTCTTAATTTGAAATGATTATACCTTTAGGTAAATAAACTATTTTAATATGTCAAATTCTTAAAAAATGATTTTGAATACATAAGCTTCAGGAAAACCTGAGATAGAACAGAGGGAGGAAGAGGTTGAGACTATAAATCCTGTCAACAGACAAAAGGTACGGACGAAAAAAAGAACTAGTTTGGATGATGGAGGGTTATCTCCCCTCCCACAGGGAAGATCAGTGTCTGAGTACAGTTCAGAGCTGACACAGGAGGATGTGGACAAAATTCGTGGAATGAAGCCTAGAAATAAATCTAGGTCAGAATGTTCCAGTTCTAGTCGAGTTTCCTGCCCTGATCCTGTTAAATACAACAGGAACCCTGCATCATATGTAACAGATCATGTAAATGACAGTGAGCCCATGTTTGATGATGATGATGAAGCAGGTGCTCTTTCTAAGGACAGTGGTAGTCACAATACTACAGTCAAACAAAATGATGAAAGAATTGATCAAATGTCTCCCAGTGTTAACCTTCCCTCAGACTCAGAGCTGAGTTCACCTGGAAAACCTTCATTAAATGATCCAAGCTCCTATGGGGAACTGAGTTACTCAAGTGCTTCTGGTGAGCTCGTAGACTGTAAGGACTTAGAGGAGGATAGTTACTGTGATACTGATGGATCAGGACTTCATATAAGTCCTCTAGAAATGAATGGATATGAGGATATCCATGAATGTCTTGAGGAATCTAAAGATACTCAGAGTGAGCATGAAAAAACACAGCCTGTGTTGATCTCAGAAAACAAAGCTAGTGAAATAATACTGAGCCCTCAACAGCAAGATTTTGTGAATGAAAGAATTTTAGAGGATATTCTCAACACAGAACTCAGTAGTCCCAGTGATAAGAGAGACCATGTTACCAGTGATTCCTCATATGATAACAGTAAAGATGATTCATTGGATGAGAAGGCAAAAGCAAGGAAAAGGTCAAAGGGTAAAAAGGAGAACCTGAAGCCAGAGTTTAATGTGGCACCAAGGGACATAGTTCAGCCTCAGCTGTCCCCAGCCGTAGCTGACGCAATAGAGACAACGATGATGGACCAAACTACAAAAAAGAGGTTCTCTGTCGGGAATGAGGAGGACGAGGATTTTTCTTCTTCTCCAAGGCGACCTAGATCAGGTGCTTTATCTGTTTGTCTAGAGCCAGAAAATAATGGTAAGTGAGAATGGTGAGGCAACCACTTTGTATAGACAATTCCATATAGTAAATTAGTAACTTTTGTATATCTGTCCAAAACAAAATTGGAAAAAAAAAACAAAATAATCCAGATTAAATGGCTCTACAAGTAAAGATTCCAAAAAATTATAAATGTATTAAGCTTTAAAATATAGAAGGGGGTATTTGATTCACCTGTAATTGATATTTTCAGATGGAGTTGGAATATCTTCACCTCCAAGTGTAGGAAACAGTCTTGGTGCTCGGAGTGGGTGGTCATCAGATTTTGAACAACCTGTACGGCCAACTACGATTGCTACAATGCCAGTCAGAAATAAATGTAAGGATCACAAACAAATCTAAACTAATTTTCTGTACTTTCTGCAAATCACTTGAAATATGACCATTTTACAGATGTGTAACAAGTGTTTATGTGATCTCCTAGGTGAGATATTTTTTTTTTTAGCTTAGGCAACATCCTTCCCTATTTCTATCAGACAGTAGCTTCTAACACTCAGTTTTTATTTCAGGATATTTTTGTACAACTGAAATCAATACTTCCTCAAAGAGGAAGGATCCTGATTTTAATCTCTCTATTCCAAATTTGCCAGTACATGTATATATTTCTAGTTACAGACCACCATCTTTTATCTTTTTATTTTCAGCTGAGAGTTTTAACTCTCTGCTGAAAAACTACACACCTTCCAGCCAGGTTGCCTCGCCTACTATGGAGGATGTGCTTCAAGAACTTCCAGAATACAGCAACATCTCCTCATCATCACCACAGGTGGATCTAACATTTTCCACATCTCAGGTAAGCTCCAGTCTATCTATATATATTTTTATGCCCTGTCATGAGAATGGCCGGGGCGTATAGTGTTTGTCATGTCTATCATCCATCCTTCTGTCTGTCCTTCCATAAAACTTTGCATATAATTCAGTTTCTAAGAAACTATTCAAGATATTTTTATCAAACTTCAAATGCTGATACATATTGATAAGAGCTATTCAACTGCATCAACATTTATTTACCTTGACCTTTCTTTTGACCTTGACCACACATTTAAAAAAATTGTTTAACACATTTTCAAAGAAATTATTCATATTTTTATCAAACCATATATGCTGATACATATTGGTGAGAGCTTTTCAACTGCATCAACATTTTTTTTTACCTTGACATTTCCTTTGACCTTGACCTCACTTTCCAAAAATCTGTATTTCTTGAAAGAAACTTTTCAAGATATTTTCATCAAACCATACATGCTGATAGATATTTATGAGAGCTTTTTAACTGCATCAACACATTTGTTATTATTTTAATCTTGACCTTTCTTTTGACCTTGTTTTCACCTTTCTTAAATTTGTGTTTAGTCAAGTTCCCAAGAAACTATTCAGGATATTTTTATTAAACTTCATATGCTGGTATATAGTGATGAGAGTTGGTCGACTGAAAAAAAAAATGACCATGACCTTTCCTTTCATCTTGATCTCATTTTTCTTAAATTATTATTTGGCTCAGTTTCAAAGAAACTGTTTAAGATATTTTTATCAAACCTCATTTACTTATACATATTGATGAGATCTATTCAACTTCATCAACATTATTTGACCTTGACCTTTCCTTTGATCTTGACCTCACTTTTCTTTAATTTGTGTTTAGCTAAGTTTCAAAGAAACTTTTCAAACAAAAATTTATCACACCTTATGTGCAGATACATATTAGTGAAAACATTCTACTTCATCAACAATTTTTGACATTGACCTTGACCTCAGTTTTCTTAAATTTGTGCTTAGCTAAGTTTCAAAGACACTATTTAAGATAATTTATCAAACTTCATAAACTGATACATTTTGATGAAATCTATTCATTAGCTTCAACATTTTTTACCTGATCTTTCCTTTGATCTTGACTTCACTTAACTCAAATTTATGTTTAGCTCAGCTTAAAAAAACAAATCAAGATATCTTTATCAAACTTCATTTGCTGATATGTTTTGGTGAGTGCTATTGAACTTTTTTTATTATGATTTTTCCTTTGACCTTGACCTCACTTTTCATACATTTGCATTTAGCTCAGTTTCAAAGAAACTATCCAAGATTTTTTTTTATTGAAGCTTATGCACTGAAACATTTTTTGGTGAGAATTCATCAACTGTGCGCATTTTTATTTTATCTTGACCTTCCCAATGACCTTTGACTTCACTATTAATTGTGTATAAAACTCAGTTTTAAAGAAACTATTCAAGATATTTTTTATCAAACTTTGTACACTGATGCAAATTTTCATAATACATTACTAATGAACCCTGCCTGAGCAGGGCATTCATGTCCTATGGACAAATTTCTAGTTAAATCGTACATGTACAGAATACTACTGCATACCTTACTACCCTGGATATATGTGATGCTGCTGAATATTTAGAGAGATGGTTTATTGTATTTCACAAATGCATGTCCAAAAACTCCTCGTTATTTTTTCATTGTATGCATGCACAAATCCTGCTGGATTTTTTTTAAATATATATTTTATTTCATTCAAAATACTCTCTGCTGTGTAGGAAATAAAAGATTTTATTTCCTCATGTTGTTTTGAATGGCCCATTATGAAGTTGTGTCTTCCTAGTGTTTGATTGACAAATAACATTGAACATTCATTTAATGTTTTCCAGAAGAGCTTAGCATTCATTTTTTTTTTTTCATTAGGAAAACATTAAACATACCATATTTTTTTCTGTTTAGACCACACCGTGTAGACTGCATCAACAAAAAATAGTTCACTGTATTTTATTTTTATCAAATGAATAATACATGTACATGTATGTGACCACTGTTTAAAAATATTTTAATGAAAATCCGAAAATGAATAATTGCATGGTGATATTGACATGCTGATTGAATTCAGGAAGAAGATTACGAGATAGTCGGTGACCCAGAGTCAGAGGCCGCTGAAAGAGTGAGTGATCAGGGTGACACAGATGCTTGTTTACTAACCAGTCATTTTGCAGTTCTTCCTCTTTTGATTTTGTATTCTATTGCATGCTACAGATGTGTCTTTTCACTTCTTACTCATATTTGGCATAGAAAATTGTACAGTGGGTTATTTTAGCGGGGTGCTAATTTTGGCATTTTGATAGTAGCCCGCTAAAATTTTAGTCGCTAAAATATTCAGTACTCTTCTTAGTGTTCATCTTCAAAGAGTTAAAACCCTGTGTCTGCTAAAATAAATTACGCAAAAATTACTGGCATTACCTTTGAGCAGGCAAAATGCCAAATTTTATACCCACCAAGAAAACCCACTGTACAGTATATGGATGTTTCTTTTAACTGCAGATTACTGTGTAACTGCATGTATTTACTAGTTTACCATAGCTTAAAGTAAATGTTTAAATTATCAAATTTAAAATTTTTTTTTTTTTTTACATATTTCAGTTACATTGTATTCAAAAGCAGATACATGCAAGTTCATACCCCATAAACTATCAACATCATTTTCAATTAAAAAAAAAAAGAAATGAAAACAATGATTGTTTGGCCTTGATTTGATATTTGCACTGATATTAAATGGTTTGCTTGGTTGCTTGACAACATTTGTATTCATTTGTGATTTTCCAATGTACATGTATGAAATTTGATTAGCACATTAAGTTGATCGAAAATATTTACGAAGGAAGTTCATTTCTCTTTTGAAAATTAAGCACTTACAAAGTAGAAATATATAAGCACACAGAACAAAATTCTCACAATATTAATTAAGACTAGCTACCTTTTAATTGATTTTTGGCTGGTGATGATGTTAGATTTATCTACATTAGACATATTTCTAGTTTGTATAATGATTAACCAATTTTCTATCTATTTAGGAGGCTTTAAACACAAATGAAAAATCTAGTACAAAATGTGTAATTCATGGTAGATTTCTGTATATTCTTTCTTACAGCTAATTGTAGATCATTTTAACTGCATAGAACTAACATAGAATTAGAACTCTTTAGTGTACAGTGTAATTAGAGCTTTATTTATTTTTCAGAGTAGTTTATAATGTGTATTATAATACATGTATATATTTCTACAGAATATTTGGAAAGGGGAAATCAATGCCTATCACTGTAATCTGCCACTTTACTGTGGAGATTCAATAAAATATACAGCTTAATATTTACTAACTTCAGTCAGTACATACATGTATTTAGATTATTAAATATTCATCGGAGTTGTAAAGGTCTTCAAGCCTTTATAATTTGTTGGAGATGTGTGAGCATGTGAATGTTTCAAGCTGTGTTTTTTTATTTTTTTTATTTTAGCTCAACTGGTCAGAAACCAGAAGAGCTTATGCATTCTTCATCTGTCTGTTTGTCTGTCCATCTGTAAACAATTTTTAGCTCACCTCAACGAAGTTGGGGGAGCTTACATGTATGTAATACATGTACCCTCGGCGTCGGTGTCCCAGGTTTAAGTTTTTAGAGCAGATTTCTTTTCAAGTACTTCTATGCCCTATATTAATCAGAGGTGCATGGAGGATACTTCTAGTGTGTTTCATTGTTCCAGTCAAGGTTTCAGATGCTGCAATTTTAGCTAAAGAATGACCAAGTTAATGTTTTGGAGCAGGTTAAAGTTTTTGGAGCAGGTCTTGTTTCCAAGTAACTATAAGTCCTATGTTGACCAAACTTGTGTGGATGATACATCTAAAAATGCACACTACTGAACTTGCTTCAGATGCTGGATCTGACCTACATTTTCCGAATGAGTGACCAGGTTAAAGTTTTTGGAGTAGATCTCATTTCCAAGTAACTATAAGTCCTATGTTGACCAAACTTGCAAGGATGATGCATCTAAGGATTCACACTACTGGACTTGCTTTGGATGCTGGATCTGACCTACAATTTCCAGATGAGTGACCAGGTTAGATGAACTTTTTCAAACTTGCTTCGGATGCTGGATTTGACCTACTTTTTCTTGATGAGTTACTAGTTTAAAGTTATTAGAATAAGTCCATTCCCAAGTAGCTACAAGCCCTATCAGACCAAAATTGCATAAAATAATGTTGCATCTAGGGGTACACACTAATAGATTATTAGTTTAGTGTGGGATTGTGCCTTACTTAAAGACAACTTTTGTTGAGGTTAGCTCTGTAATCTCTGATTACCTATGTTGCAAAATGCTACTACTCATAAAGGTTTAATTGGTCCAATTTCAATGAGACTTGGTACACAAGTACTAATACATGTACTATTAAAGGTATTTAATTAATGCTGTTAATGTGTGTTTTGATGTTGACAAATGGTGTAGTTAATAAATCTAACAAATTCTTTCTATTCTTTCAAAACATCTCCTTCAGTTTTGGTCTTATAAGACTTTTTTATGCAAGTATTAGACTATACTAAGATGTATCTTTCTTTATTAAAAGTACAAACCAGTGGAGCTACAGTCTTTTTTGACACTTCTGGTTTAGTTGTTTATCGTGCATTTATATTATTTTTTAAAAGATCTTTTTTTAACATGTACTCAGACCTCATCATCAAAAATAAACATGAAAAAATACTTTACTAAGACTCCCCTCCCCCCCCCCCCCCCCCCCCCAAAAAAAAAGAAGATTTTGTCAACTTTAATGTGAATATGAAATTAATCCAAGAAAACTATTGCAGTATGTATGGTACATGTTTTCTTTTATAGAAAAGTTATGAGATGCTCTATTATGTGTGTCTGAAGTATGTATTTATTGTAGAATTTATTTAGACTTTAAAATTATACATGATTTACTTCACTAGGATTCTCAGAATCAGGCGTCTTTGCTTGGGGTGATAGCCAATGAGAAAGGATTAGATGCCCAGAATTACCAGTGTGGCAGCTGTAAAAGACCAATTGGGTTCAGTAAGTAACAAAGAAATTAAAGATTTTGTTATTTCTCCTAGACAAAGAGATTAACAATATTGTTATTTCTCCTAGACAAAGAGATTAAAGATATTGTTATTTCTTCTAGACAAAGAGATTGACAATATTGTTATTTCTCCTAGACAAAGATATTTAAGATATTGTTATTTCTTCTAGGCAAAGAGATTAACAATATTGTTATTTCTCCTAGACAGAGATTAAAGATATTGTTATTTCTCCTAAGCAAAGAGATTAACAATATTGTTAAATTTCTCCTAGAAACTAAATATTGTGATGGTTAGAATCCTGTCAGGTTTTGCTGATACTGTAAAAAACAAATATATTTGATTCTATATGTTGGGACTTTGGGAGCCCAAAATGATGCAAAAGTATCTGTCCAACATACATGTTTATCAAAAAAATGTTTACAGAGTCTGAGTTTCAAAGTCAATGAGACATAAATGGAGCAAAATCCCCCCCCCTTTCCCTTCTGATTTTCAAATTTGTAAAGTAAGGAAAAGATGATCCTGGATCCCCCTCTAGAAAACACCATGGACCCCCTGGTAAAATGTTAGGCAGGTCATTGATAAACTTGTATATGAAGGAAAGCAACTTGCCCTACACCCCCAACCCCACCCCCTTCCATGAAATAGGGTTAAGGTTTGGACAAAATGTACAGTTTTTTTTTTACTTGTCAATAAAATTCTGAGATTTTTTCAATGGATATGGAACCCCTACTCCCTGGAAAAAAATCCTTGATCTTTTAATACTTTTCTTTGCATAATTATTCTCTCACATTTGCATTACAAATATGGTCAAACTTGTCTAATGCATCCACCACTGGTTCTAAAGAAATTGGCAGGATTAGACAACATTCTGGATTAGACAACATTTTAAGCAAATGAATTTACTGAAAGGGACTTTATGTTTACATCGTATTAGGCAAGATTTCAGAATATAAAAAATCCAGATCAGACAAGTTTTGCTGTATAACTTTTAACATGTACATGTATTTTGTTTAGTTTATGGAAAACCTCGGGTTTGTACATTTGATGGGAAGTATTACTGCTTCGAGTGTCATGAAAATGAGGAGTATTACATTCCAGCCTTCATCATTCATAACTGGGACTTCAGGAAACATATAGGTATCATTCATTTAAATCTATACCTGTGTAATATACTGCATCAGATCCTAGAGTTTCATCATTTTTTGATCTCCACAAAAAATCATGAAATCATGCTACCTGTTCATTTATTCAAATTAATAAACATGCCCAGTACATGTTCTGTTTGCTGTAAAATTAATTCAGAACTACTGCTGAAAATCATAAAACTTTAAAAAAGAAAGTCTGGAATTTGCAAGGAATTGTTTCATATCCATATACTGTACTTTATAAATCAGTGTCCAAGAAGTCCCTGACCTTCCTACAAGACATTGAGGATCATTCCATCATTGATGTTTATGTTGTGAACCCCAGATTGTATGAACATATCAAAGAAATGGACCAGCTACAGGTTTGACTTTTTATAAGTACACCAAGAACAATTATTGTTACTAAGAATAGTATTAATTGGTAGCCAGAAAAAGCAAGCCGAAGGACAAGTCTAATTTTCCTGTTACATTCTGTAAAAGATGATACATGTGTAATTGAAAATACTTTATATATGAAGCATCTTTAACAGATTTTAAGGAAACAAAATTCTGTACAAAGATGATATGTGTTAATTTTGTGTACTTGAAAAAAATGTTCAATATATAACATCTTTAATAGGTTTTAAGGAAACAACTTTGCCATTTGAAGACCTACTTATTCACTTGTAAACAGTCAACTGCAGATGAATTCAGAAAGAGCATGTGGCCAAAGGAATACTTATATGAGGGCATTCATACTTACACATTAGCTGTGAGTGAAAAATGAAGTGAATTAATCATATTTTTGATTTGCAGATTGTTAATTGTTACATTAGCTTTGAATTCAAAATGAAGTGTTTATATTGATAAACTAAATGCCATTTTCTTCACAGGATCTGCTACAAGTGCCCTCAGGACAGCTGATACAAAGTCTGAAAAAGTCCATCAAGTTTGCCACTAAGCATGTGTATGAGTGCCCTCTGTGTAGTGGTAAAGGGTTCATCTGTGAGCTCTGTCACAACCCCAAGGTCATTTATCCATTCCAGACAGATAACACTATCAGGGTAGGTGTTTCAAAGTTATTCCCCTTTATACAGACTCTTTAAAGGATTGCACAATTAATTATTTCCTTAAAATAGATACTTTACTCTTGCAGTGAAACCTGTACAATGAATTTATTGGTTATATTCAGTAAAGAAGAGTCTCTATATCCTCTACATAGAGAGACAGTCAACATAATTGATATCAGCTCCTCCGAAAAATATTGACGGTCATTTAATTTTTACTAGTGACTGGCGAAGAGAGTTTTTCCATGATATTATTGATTTTGATTAGTAGATTCATTTATTGTGATGATACCGTTGCAACTTCCAAAAAACATAACATCACAAAAAAAAATCCAAGTAACACAACCATCACAACTTGAAGATTCACTTGCGCTACAATCAATGTGCAGGATAATGCATATAGCCATTGAATACAAATGAGTTGCTGAATTTCAATGAATGAAATCAAAATACTATTTTATTGATTTGTTTTGTATTCATATAACAAAAAAAATTACTGATTGTGAATATATTTATACTCTGCTCCACATAGGGCAATATTTCATCCCTTGGAGGCTAACATAATCAATGTTGCCCTCAACCCTAGTCAATACCTGTATGATATCACATTATAGTTGTATTGTAGAATAAATGTTTCATATAAAGCTTCCTGTTTTAAAATTTCAGTGTCCAAAGTGTAAGTCAGTGTTCCACAAAGCCTGCAAGTCAGACTCCAAGTCTTGTCCCAAATGTGCCCGGAGAAGCAAGAGAAAATCACAAACGGGGGATTGCCTGGAAACCCCTGATATCCATGACTATGCTTTTACTCCTCAACTTGTCACTTGACAGGAATTTCCTATCATTTTTGATCACCATGCTGGTATCTGGCCAAGAAAATTATACATGAATCAGCTGACATTTTTTGTAAATTTAATACTCGATCATTTTATAGCCATCACTCAAAGACATACCTTAGTATGCCAATATTTCAATGAAAAATTATTTTAGAAACGAATCTACAGTGCCTTTTAACAATTTTGTATATTTTAAAATACCTGTGGTGTTTTATTGTACGTATTTTTCATAGAAAATTTTAAATGAGTACATGTATTTTAAAAGTTGAATCAGCTTTAATCTAAATCATTCAAGTATGTTCAGTTTTAAAATATTTAATGTATCTTATAAACAAGCTACATGAAGAGTTCTGTCTTTGTCCCAATTATGCTTGGTTTGGGGGAAAATAAGGCAGCAATGTTGATAGTACAATTGAAGATAAAATTGAAGGGACAATATTAATTTACAAATCTTTACACAAATATGGAGTCTATGAAGTTACTCGTTAGAATAAATTTGGGTAAACTTATGATTTTATTTGTGCAGAACAAAGCTAATATTGTATTGGTACTCCTGTAAACAATTCTTTTTTTGTCATTTTATTGAAAATAAATGTTTATGTCGTTTTAGTATAAAAGTATTGTGTTTCTAATTTTTCAGGCTTTTTTTCTTTTTTTTTTTTTTTTTTTTACTGTGAAAGACAAAGTAAATGCGAGGTGAAACATCTGAGGAAGGATGTTTTTTTTTAAACCAGAAGTCTCTGATGAAGGAAGAGAAAAGAAGCACTTGGACTTGAAACTTTCCAAAATCAATAACTAGAACAGTGGCTTATATTCCATATAGGCAAAAAGGCTGTAGCCTACACATAATTTTCTCAAAGTATAAAAACATGAAAAAAGGGGGGGAAAATCTAGCTGGAAAAGATTTTCAGAAGTCAATGCAGATGATATTGATGGATGCAGAAAATTTCAAAATTGTGATGAAAGGTAACCTCCATTTATTTTAAAACCCTATTTTATTTGCTTCCATTTCATATATAAAATCATGCGATTTTCGGGAATCCTCCTCCTAAAGGGGGATGGGATTCAGCTCTAAAAGCTCATTTGAACTTTTCGACTTCAAATTAGCCTACAATTGAAGAGAAAGGAATATACGCCACTGTAGAATAATAATCCTTGGTTTAGTCTCTTTTTGTGGCAAAATTTATTGCAATCGGACTAAAACTGTAGGTGGAGTAGCCTTTAAAAGAATTGTATAGAAATTTGGATTTGTATCCATGGCAACTCTTCATCAAAATCAGAAACATATACAGAGAATTATGTATCACAGTGTAATCTACTTGTGTGCCAATTCATATTGAAATTAGACCAGAAAAGAAGGAGATGTAGCATTTTGAGTGTTATTCACTGAAATTTCTATTTTTAGTAACCATGGAAACACCGTTCATCAAAGTCAAAAACCAATATACCGAATTATGTATCTTTTCAATTTTCAGTAACCATGGCAATACTGTTGATTGAAATTAAAAACATGCACAGAATCATGAATTAAGTGCAATCTATTTGAGTGCCAAGTTATATTGAAATCAGATCAAAACTGTAGGAGGAGTAACATTTTGAAGGTATTTTATAGAAATTTCTATATTTAGTAACCATGGCAACACAGTTCATTGCAATCAAAAACTGAAAAACAGAATTAGGTATCTTAGTGCAGTTTATTTGTGTGCTAAGTAATTAAATTAAAATGTGACCAAAACTATAGGAAGATTAGCATTTCACAGAAATTTTTTTTTAAGTAACTATGGCAACACTATTCATCAAAATTCAATATGCAGAATAATGTATCTTAGTGCAGTCTATGTGTGTACCAAGGTATGTTGAAAGAAGACCAAAGCTGTTGGAGGAGTGGCCTTTTTGAATGTTTTTCAGAGAAAGTTTTATTTTCAGTAACCATGGCAACACTGTTGATCAAAATCAAATTTGATAAACAGAATCATGTAGTTTAGTGCAATCTACTAGTCTGCCAACTTATATTTAAATCAGACCAAAACTGCAGGAGGAGTACCTGGTAGTGCTTTGAATGTATTTCACAGAAATTTCATTTTTTAGAAACATTGGCAACACCATTCATCAAAATCAAAAACATAGACAGAATTATGTATTTTAGTGCAGTCTACTTGTATGTCAAGTTATACTGAAATCAGACCAAAACTGTTGGAGGAGTAGGGTTTTGAAAGTATTCCACAGCAATTTCTATTTTTAGAAACCATGGCAACACTGTTCATTGAAATCAAAAACCCATATTCAGAATTATGTTTCTAAGTACAGTCTACTTGTGCAGCAAGTTATATTGAAATAAGACCAAAACTGTAGGAGGAGTAGCAATTTGAAAAAAATTGTTGCCAGACAGACAGTTAGACAGATGGATGGACGATGGACACCTTTCTATCACATAAGCTCTTCTGGTCTCTGACCAGTAGAGCTAAAAAGGATAAAAAAAAATCATTCACAAGAGACAAAAGGCCCATGGACCACAATGCTCACCTGAGTCAATATGGCCCTACTGTTCTTCATCAGCAGATTTCTTCTCCTATATATTCATATGTAAAGCTTTGATCGCCTGTTCTAGCCATGCCCTACACCCAGGTGCCATGTTTTGAATAAAATTGAATCTATCTGAGGATGCTTCTATATTCATATGACTAATCATAGCTTTGCTGTTCTTCAAAACAGAATTTTAAAGATGTCTGCCACCCTACCCTGGAGGGGGGGGGGGGAGGGAGGGGGGTTCATGATTTGAACAAACTTGAATCTTCACCACCTCTGGATGATTCCATATCAATATGACTAATTGTGGTTTTGTTGTTCTTGAGAAGAAGATTTTTTCTATATATTCCATTGTAAAACTTTGATCCCCCATTGCAGCCCCACTCTATCCCTGGGGGTCATGATTTGAACAAACTTAAATCTACACAAACTGAGGATACTTCCATATCAATATGACTAATTGTGGCTTTGTAGTTCTTGAGAAGAAGATTTTTAAAGATTTTTTCCTATTCATTCCATTGTAAAATACCGTTCACGGTAGCTCAGTCGGTAGAGCGCTCGCTTCATGATCGGGAGGTTATGAGTTTGAATCTCGGCCGCGACTGACCTAAGTCGATAAAAAATGGGTAGCAACTGTTCCTTCGCCATGCACTCTGCACTTTGAAGTGAAAGTTGCAGGTCCTTCGGATGAGACCTTAAAAACTGAGGCCCCATGTCACAGCAGGCGTTGGCACGTTAAAGATCCCTCACTGCTCAATGGCCCTGAGTGTCAAGTAAAGGTTAAAATTTGAAGCCCTTCACCGGTATATGGTGACGTCTCTATATGAGTGAAAAATTCTCGAATGGGATGTAAAACAACATATAATGAATCAATCAATCCATTGTAAAACTTTGATCCCCCACTGTGGACCCACCCTACCCCAGGGGTCATGATTTGAACAAACTTGGATCTGCACTACCTGAGGATGATTCAATGTGACTAATCATGGTTTTGTTGTTCTTGAGAAGAGGATTTTTTAAAGATTTTTACTATATATTTCTATGTAAAATTTTGATCCCCTACTGTGGCCCCACCTACCCCCAGGGGTCATGATTTGAAGAAATTGGAAATTACACTATCTGAGGATGCTTCCAAATTAATAAGACTAATCATGGATTATTTTTTCTTGAGAAGATTATTAAAGATTTTTCCTATGTATTCCTTTGTAAAACTGATCCTTCATTGCGGCCCCAACCTTCCCCCAGAGGTCACGATTTGAACAGACTTAAATCTACACTATGTAATGAAGGTTTCATGTAAGTTTCAACTTTTCTGGCCCAATGGTTCTCAAGAAGAAGATGACGCCAAATTTTCACAAATTCTTAATTATCTCCCCTTGAAAGAGGGCGTGGCCCTTCACTTGAACAAACTTGAATCCCCTTCACGCAAGTGGTTCTTGGGAAGAAGTTGAAAATGTGAAAAGTTTACAGATGGACAGCTGGATGGACAGTTAGACAGACACCAGACAAAATGTGATCAGAAAAGCCCACTTGAGCTTTCAACTCAGGTGAGCTAATAATTCTAAAAATTTTACTCACCTTGAAAGGTAATGCACCTTTTTTTCAATTTCACTGGATCACTGGTATAAATTGGGTAACTAGTAAATTTATTCCTGAAAAAAAAGGCCATTTTTTTCTTCAGGTAAAAATCACCATAATCTTGATCAATATTTACTGTTCCATTTGGGAGTTTTTTCTCCCCTGCCAGTGTATTAATACTTTTTAGCTCACCTGAGCCGAAGGCCCTAGAGAGCTTTTCTGATTGAAAAGTGTCCAGAGTACTCATCTGTCTCTCTGCTGTGTGTTGTCTGTAAAAAATTTTTAACATTTTTGACTTCCTTTCCAGAACCACTGGGCTAATTCCAACAAAACTTGCCAAAAAGTATCCTTGAGTGAAGGGGATTTTAAAAGTTTGTTCATAGGAAGTGTCATGCCCTCTTTCAAGGGGAGATAATTAAGAATTCATAAAAATTTGATATCATCTTTTAAAAATCGTCTTCTCAAGAACGACTGGGCCAGAAAAAATGAAACTTATGTAGAAGCTTCATTACATACTGTAGATTCAAGTTTGTTCAAATGATGACCCCTGGGGTAGGAAAAGGCCACAACAGGGGATCAATTTTTTACCTAGGAATATATAGAAAATATCTTTAAAAATGAGTTCTTTGAACTCCCCCCCCCCCCCCCATCCCCGTACATTAAGCAGATAAACTACTGGTTTGTATGTTGATATCATGAGTAAGGGTGCCTTTTCCAAAATTTGTAAAATCTGTGGCCCCGGGGTCAGGGGTTCTTGAGTTCTACTGATCATATAGTAAATCATGATACATAATATTCAAATGTAGGAAAACATGTATGTTTTTAAGAGAGTTTGTTCTACACCAGCATATTGATAGAAATCAAAAGTCTCTGATGAGACTGTAGCTCTACTGGTCTGTGCATATAACAAAGGAAAAGTAGCACTTGATTTGAAACTTTGCAACATGTAGCATTAATAAGAATTATCTTGATGTAGTCTACTTGTGTGCCAAGATATATTGAAATCAGACCAACACTGTAGCAGGAGTAGCCTTTCAAAGGAATTTCACAGAAATTTCTATTTTTAGTAACCATGGCAACACCATTCATCAAAATCAAAAACTGATGCACTAAATTATGTATTTTAGTGTAGTCTACTTGTGTGCCAAATTATATTGAAATCAGACTAAAACTGTAGCAGGGGTAGCCATTTAAAGGAATTTCACAGAAATTTCTATTTTTAGTTACCATGGCAACATCGATCATCAAAAATCAAAAACCAATGCACTAAATTATGTATTTTAGTTTCGTCTACTCTTGTGCCAAGTTATATTGAAATCAGACCAAAACTGTAGGAGGAGTAGGGTTTTGAAAAATTGTTTACAGACAGACGGACAGACAACTAGACGGACAGACACCTTACTATCGCATAAGCTCTTCTGGTCTCTGACCAGTAGATCTAATAAAAATGGTATTAACTTTTTTGATCTTTTTACAAAAGTACAAGATTTATTTATTCATATATGAGAATCCTCGGACATATTGTGGACATAAAAAGACTGCTACAGAAATGTCTAATGAAGATGATTTGGTTGTCAAAAGCCATTCAATCAACACTCAGTTATTAAGATAAGTGTTGGTGTTAATTGCTAGATGCTAAAGAAGGATACATGTGCATGACGTAGAAACACAGCGTGACAAAAAATTAACACAATGTTGAATGGAAACATGTGCAAGTCTCTCACAAAGATATATTTTCATGCTTTTGTTTTCAGCATCCATGACCATGATTTTTAGTCATACATGTAAATAAATTTACAGATGTACATGTATAGTGAAAAACAATGTGTCTCATTTTTAGAAATAGAGAAACTGATAAAATCATTGCTGCTACTGTTTCTCCTGTAAAGAAAAAAATCTCTCTGAACACCCTTTTACTACCAATCTTGGAAGAATTTTTTTTGCATGTTTTGAAACGCCACAAAATTCAAAACTTCAACAGTAGCCACAATAAAGATTTAATTACTTTGTAAGATTTCATACAGTAACAAAGTCACATAAAATACATGTCAGGGAAAAAGTAAACAGTACTTTCTGAATAGAGAACTTGACCTGACACGACACAGCTGATTAACATTAAAAGATGTCTTTCTCACATGAAATAAAATGACTTGTGAAAAGCATTGTCCCCAAATCTCAATCTTATTCACATTTTCTTTCAGATCCAATGTATCTGACAGCTGCAAGCCACTGTTTTAAAATGTTATGTCAATAAAACTGTCATCTATTTGGTAAAATGGTGATGTTTATTCAGAATGTTTGTAAACAGCTGATTAGACTTGATAAATGAAGCAATGAGGTTCCTCTCTAACTGTCAATGGTTCCTCTCTAACTGCCAATCTTCTCTACTTCTTCTATATCATCTGCATCTAACTTCTTGATTTCTCGCCCTATATTCAAACAGCAACACAGATTAAAAACTCATTCACAGGTATGTCTTAAATGATAAAAGAAGCAGCAGGTATGTTGAAAAAATATTGTCAAAACAAAAAATGAAAAGTTTTTTTTTTTCAATTTATTTATTTAGGAAAACAAGATCTACTGGATATCTTTAGCTTAATAATGCAATTACCAAAGTATCTCTCAATTGCTTTCATTGTTTGAAATGTCCTCTGGCCATCCACCATGTTTATTGCTAAGCCCTTTTTGCCAAAACGACCAGTTCTTCCAATCCGGTGGAGGTAGGTCTCAAAGTCGGGTTTGTTTTCTGGGGGTGGAGTTAGGGGAAGGTCAAAGTTCACCACAACTGTCACTTGTTCTACATCAATACCTGCAATGAAAATAAACAGAATCAGTCACATCTCCTCTTATGAAGATATTAGTGAAGGTCACCGTTCATCGAAATCAGAAACATGCACTAAATTATGTGCCTTAGTGTAGTCTACTTGTGTGCCAAGTTATTTTGAAATCAGACAAAACTGTAGGAGGAGTAACGTTTTAAAGGAATTTCACAGATATTTCTATTTTCAGTAACCATGGCAACACCGTTCATCGAAATAAAAAAGCGGTCCACTAAATTATGTATCTTAGTGTAGTTTACTTGTGTGCCAAGTTATTTTGAAATCAGACCAAAACTTTAGGAGGAATAGCCTTTCAAAGGAATTTCACAGAAATTTCTATTTTTAGCAACCATGGCAACAACGTTCATCAAAATCAAAAACAGATGCACTAAATTATGTATCTTAGTGTAGTCTACCTGTGCCAAATTATATTGAAATCAGACCAAAACTGTATGAGGAGTAGTGTTTTAAAGGAATTTCACAGAAATTTCTATTTTCAGCAACCATGTCAACACTGTTCATGGAAATCAAAAACCGATGCATTAAATTATGTATCTTAGTATAGTCTACTTTTGTGCCAAGTTATATTGAAATCAGACCAAAACAGTAGGAGGAGTAGCATTTTGAAAAGTTGTTTACAGACAGACAGCTAGACAGACAGACATCTAGATGGACAACGGACACCTTACTATCGCATAAGCTCTTCTGGTCTCTGACCAGTAGAGCTAAAAACTGAGAAAGAAAGGACAAAGTATTGTAAGGGCCTGAGCTGACATTTTTTTTATCATTAAAATAAACTCTTAAAAGTTTTAACATGATTTGAAAAATCGACAAGTTTCTGACACCTATCTGAGTTTTATACTTGAAAATCAATTCTTTTAAAATAGTTGCCATCTACAGGGAATTTTGATTAAAAACAATACAGTGTACCCAAACAGAAGGCCCCTTCTCTCTTGGTTAAATTCTGAGGGAGTGAAAGGTGTTTATCTAATATCAACATACATTAGCTAGGCATTCATTCTTATCATATGTACATGTATGTATAGGCTAAAACAACAAACAGGTATCTATGAGATGGTGACCATCTCAAAGGCCCCATTTTTGATCAGTGTGAAAGATATAGGGATAAGGAAAAGAACTTTCAGTAGATCGAGGAATCTGTTCCTCGTCAAGGGGTGAGGAAATATGCAATAGACCATGATTATACCTAGAGCCCTAGTACTAGCTGTATTGATCTTTGACTACCTAGAAACTTACATTAAAGTGATTGTGTGGTTTGAGTATGAAGGCAGAAAAAGATGTCCTCCATACAAAGATTTTACTGAAAGATCTGCTGCAACATTGACCTCTGACCTTCACAATTGCTTAAAACTCAGTGCACACTCTTAACATAAGAATAATCTACAAGAGATGTGGCAAAGAGAGAGAAATATGCTCCAGATGTTAAATTTCCACAGAGATCTGTTTTGACCTTGATTTATATACTTTAAAGTCACTGCACACCCATTACCCTGCGGCACAGAGCACGAATCTTTTATTCATTTTTACTGTCTTTCTTTTCTCCGGTACGTGCTTTAGATTTTATTATCATTAACCAGTATTCTTCAAACTATGCTTCTCTAAGTCCTCTGCAATAGAAAACACTCACCCCTAGCTGTGACATTTGTGGTGATCAGAACTTTCTCTTTGGCCTCTTTGAAGCGATTAATGATGGCTGCCCTTTGTTCTATTGACAACTCTCCACTAAGGAGACCCACGGCATGTCCTTCTTTTGTCATTTTCTCTGCCAACCAAGCTGCTGTTTTTCTTGTCTGTTTTAAATATAATACAGTTTTATACAACTGAAGTTAAAATTCAAGAAGTCTGTGAGCCAGTGCTCACTATAATATCCCTGTTCTGAGGTGAATATACACTCTCATGAATCCCACCATATGGCATGCCTAAACAAAGAGTGTGATAAAACTTCGTGCATCTGCCTTGTCAGTAGTTGCTGACAAAACTGTGACAGAAATTTGGTACAGACAGAGGCATGGACAAACAGGAAGTTGACAATAGAATCATTCAAAAATGAATCCCACCATATGGCATGCCAAAACAAAGAGTGTGCTAAAATTTCAAGCATCGGCAATTTGTAGTTGCTGAGAAAACTGTGATGAAAATTTTTTACGGACAAACACAGACAAGCAGATAGACAGTGAGACAGACACACAAGGGTAAAACAGTATACCCCCCTCTCTCTCGGAGCAAGGGTATAAAAAGGCTACTGCATTTAAGTAAATCATCACATATAGTAAAGAGATATTTTGACATTGGTGGAGATTCGTGAAATTGTTATATCTCAGGTTAAAATATCAAAGATGAAATTGATATCTAAGTTCTCCCAACAAATTAATGATTGATTAATTATAAATTCAAAAATCACAAACTTCGTAGCATGTCTTTTAGCAATTAAACATATCATGTACAATTCCCTTGAAAAATATCTTAAAGAAGAGGTTCATCAGTGGGCCACAACATTCATCTACACGTTAGTCACCTTGGCTCTGCTATTCTTCCTCAGAAGATTTTAAAAGATTTATTTTCCCTCTTTGTTTTTAACCCCATATTGGGGCCCAACCTGGCCCCAGTATGTCATGACATTCCAAACTGAATCTACACATAATTGGGATGCTACAAATGACTAACATATGGCTTTCCTATCATAGAGAAGAAATTTTTCCTGATATGAATGCATTATGTAAAATTTCATTTCTGATTTTAGCTAAACCCTAACCAGAGCCAATACTATTGTTTATGATTTGATGAAATATCAAGCAATAACTATGAAGTTGTTTGTGTTTTGATGAAAATTGACTACCACAATTGTTACTCAATACCTTGTTAATTCCATTTCAATGAATACTTTGTACCAGTAGATATGGTAATAAAAGTATTTTTAATTAATATAAAAAAAAAAAAACAAGAGGCCCAAAGGACTTGACGCTCACCTGAATATAAAACAACAATCCATAGAAGTATAAAATAAACTGAAAGGAGCTTTTGTAAATCTTTGATTGTCCATTGTGGCCCCACCCTATCCCAAGAATCCAGAGTCATGATTTGAACAAACTTAAATTTATACTACCTGATGTTTCCATGTTCATACATGTATAACCAATCATGGCTTTGCTGTTCTTGAGAAAAGAATTTCTTCAAGATTTTCCCTACATATTCCAATGTAAAACTTTCATTGTCCATTGTGGCCCACCCTACCCCTGGGGATCATGGTTTTAACAAACTTGAATCTACACTACCTGAAGATGTTTCCACATTTCATCTTTCTTGGCCTAGTGTTTCTGGAGAAGATTTTTCCAATGTATTCCCATGTAAAATTTTGATCATCCATTGTGGCCCTGCCCTACCCCTGGGGGTCATGATTTGAACAAACTTGAATCTACACTACTTTAGGATGTTTCCAGATAAGTTTCATTTTTCTTGGCCCAGTGATTCTGGAGAAGAAATTTTTTTTTTAATATTTTTCTATGTATTTCTATGTAAAACTTCTATGATATCAAAATGACTTATCATAGCTTTGCAGTTCTTGATAAGAAATTTTCCTATATATTCCTATGTAAGACTTTGATCGTCCATTGTGGCCCCGCCCTACCCCCGGGGGTCATGATTTGAACAAACATGAATCTACACTACCTGAGGATGCTTCCATATAAATATGACCAATCATGGCTTTGCTGTTCCTCAGAAAAAGATTTTAAAAGATTTTTCCTATATATCTCCAAGTAAAACTTTGATCATCCATTGTGGCCCCGCCCTACCCCCGGGGGTCATGATTTGAACAAACTTGAATCTACACTACCTGAGGATGCTTCCATATAAATATGACCAATCAGGGCTTAGCTGTTCCTGAGAAGAAGATTTTTAAAGATTTTTCCTATATATCTCTATGTAAAACTTTGATCGTCCATTGTGGCCCCACCCTACCCCTGGGGGTCATGATTTTAACAAATTTGAGTCTACACTACCTGATGATGTTTCCACATAAGTTTCATCTTACCTGGTCTAGTGGTTCTTGAGAAGAAGATTTTTAAAAGATACCATTAATTTTTCACTAATTCTTAATTATCTCCCCTTGTAAGAAGGCGTGGCCCTTCATTTGAACAAACTTGAATCATCTTTACCCAACTATAGTTTGTGGCAAGTTTGGTGGAAATCGGCCCAGTGGTTCTTGAGAAGAAGTCGAAAATGTGAAAAGTTTATGCACGACGCACACCCGCACGGGTAACTCAGGTGACCTAAAAACATCACATAATTAACCATATGTTCATTTATAAATCAAATCATTTTTATATTACTACTCATAAATGATTTTGATTGGGCTTCCCATATGCACCATATTTGTACTGTCAAAACATAGTATCATATGTGTATATACAAACATCAAACTAAATAACTGCCAAGTCTAGCACTAATTAAAAGCACAATCTGTTAATTAACAAGTGTACATTGAAAATATTTCACAACTTTAATATATTAATGTTTATCCCTTACAGGAGTTAATCAGTCATAGAGAGCAATACTTACAGCACAGAATATCATAGACTGGCCTATTGATATTGAACCGTAGATGTTTGATAAAGCCTGGAACTTCCCCTCCTGATCAGAACACTCTATGTAGTACTGTTTGATATTGTCAAGAGATTGTTCCTCACGTCGGAGTCGAATTACGATTGGGTTGTTAGGTATCACAGCCTGCGCAAATCTCATCACTTCATCCTCGTAAGTTGCAGAAAATAATAACATTTGGCAGTCTTTCCCTAATCCCCTATGGAACAAAAACAATTATTCTCACAACATGAAGTAATTCCCAGAGACTTTTAAGGCGATGGATATGTATTTTATTTTAGGAGCCATTAATTCAATGACAATTACGAATGACCTTGGAATATAAAGGTCGTCACACTGACCTCTGAATTCTGATGGACTGGTCTTGATGACCTTGTGTAGCAATCATAACATCTGCTTCATCTAACACGAAAACTTTGATCTTTTTGAGGTCAAAAAAGCGGAACTTCAAGGCCCAGTCACACACTGTCCCCGGGGTTCCAATGATCAAATGTCCATATAGTTTTGTCCCTCTGCTCACTGAATATTGAGAATTTAATTAACTATATGCTTGATGGGTTTTTTATGAAGACTGAACAAAAATTTAATTCCAAGCATTTTAAACAAAATTAATGACTTAAAATTTAAAAAGATAATTAAATCTTCTAACATTTCTCTCCTCTGATGGCATATTCAATTTTCAGATCTGTCATGAACTTTCCCATCTCTTCCACATTTTTGCCAATTTGCAGAGCTAACTCATAAGTAGGTGCTATGCACAGACACTGTAAGAAAAAAAAATGTCCACAATACATGTAATACCACAAAAGTTTTCTAAACAGAGTATAAAAGCAATACCTCTCAATGCTCAAATAGTAACGAGTTTAGTAAAAAGTAAGACAAAGGTCATTGGTTAGTGTCTAATATATCTAATAAAAAATTTATTGCAACAATTAAGCCATTCACAAGCAAATATCATGAATATCAATGCCTTACTTCTCACAGTTCAAAAGTTATATATCATGTAGATCTGAAAAAGAAGTTTGTTAATCTCTGGAGGTCATTAACTCTATTCATGTAATACATATACTTTTAAATTAAATTTTGCAACAAGTACATGTAATTCACCTGCTAAATATCAACGCCCTAACTCTCACAGTTCATAAGATAGTGAAGATTAACAGCATGAAATAGTTATGAAAGTATGAATTGTAGATCAAAATTCAAATTCAAAACATAGATACCCTGGCAATTTTTAAAAGATCTTTTTACATGTACATTCAATGTACAAGCTAAATGTTGAGTTCTTAATTCCTGCAGTTCAGAAGACATAGTGACAGACAGATAGACAGGGAGAAAGTAGAAAGACTGAACCTTGTATCACTCTGTAAAAGCTATGCAACCTTCTAAATATAAAAGCCAGAAGCTGAACTCTATATTTAGAAAATAAGTTGTGTTAGAGGTCTTCAAAATATTTCATCTGCTTCAGCAAACCTGACTCTGCCAAAAGCTTAAGCAACTAGCCAGAGCTAACAGGAACACTGGATGGATCTAACCCGAACATCAGATTCTACTAAGCTGCACTGATACACCAGGAATTACTGCATACATCTTGTTAGCTTACACATACCCTATGATTTCAATATTTTTTGTTTAAATTTTTTACTATAAAGCAAAGAAATAGTCCTGAGACCATGTTTGAGAAATACTTGATGGATAGGAAGTTCTGATCTGCAGTTTTCCATGTAAAGAGTGGAAACTGGATAGTGGATATTGATGCCCAAACTGTGGACATAGGAAATTGTTGTCCACACTTTATCAGTGGGAAGTGGAGATTCATGTCCACACTAGGTAAACCTGTGATGGAGATTTATATCAAAACATTTTCACCTATGGATAGTAGAGATTGATGACCACACTGTGTTTACCTGTGGATAGTGGAGACTGATATCCACATTTTTTTACTTGTCAATAATGGAGATTGATGTTTACACTATGTTCATATGTGAAAAGAGGAGGTTGTTGTCCACACTTTATCTGTGGATAATGGAGACTGGTGTCAAGATGATAGTGGAGATTGATATTAATTCTTTTTTACCTGTGTTTAAGAAGATGGGTGAACAAGGCAAGTGAAGCGCCTATAGTACGACGACAAGTATGAAGGTGAAAAATTAAATCTCAATTATAACAGAATTTTCTTTGATATTTCATCTAACATTAAAGTATACTTCACGTAAAATTTCCACAATTTGCAAAAATTTCACAAAGATTAAAATTATTAGCCTATGAAACAGTGTACACACACTTAAGAGGGCATAAAGGATCGTTTTCTCATACTATACACATTTTTTTGATATGAGAGGTTATTTGCTCCATTTTTTTTTTAAAGTTTACCATCAAAGTTTGCATAAAGATATACATTTTTTGGTTAACAAAAACATGGAACAAAGACCCACTAATACCTTAAAAATACACTTTTATGACACAACATTCACATCTTTCCAAGAAATACTTGAATCCATTTTGTCAAGAGTCATATCACAAGCATGATTTAAATGCCACTATTCATCAGGAGCTGTCTAGCATAGTGATTAGTGAGTTAGTCTCAAAGGAAAATGATACTCAGGATTTTTATTGCTAGGGTTCGAACCCCATGAATACCACATAACTTTTTAATAACAGAATAATTTTTGCCGAGAAAATTTTCCTCAGAAAAGTTTTGTTTATCATAATTTCATCAATTTCAATAAGGAGAACTATACTCTAAATATTAAATTCACATATTGAATATGATTTTTACACATTGAAGTTATATGCATTCTGCACACCTTGTTCACCCATTTCCTTTGGAGGTTGATTTAGATGCTTTGTTTACCCATGGATAGTGGAGACTGAATGAAGTCCACAATATATTTATCTGTAGATAGTGGAAATGATTTGGATACTTTATTTACCTGTAGATAGTGGAGACTGATTTTTACCCTTTATTTACCTACAGATAGAGGGGACTGACTCTGATACTTTGTTTACCTATGGATATTAAAGATCTATGTTCAAACTTTGTTTATCTATAGGTTGAGGACACTGTTTATCTGTGGATAGTTGAAATTGATCCCCCCCCCCCCCCCCCACTGGATAGTGGATATTTATGTCCACACTTTTTATTCCCACAGATAGTTGAGACTGAATTTAATATTTTGTTTACCCATGGATAGTTGAGATTGATTTTGATACTTTGTTCACCTGTGAAAAGTGGAGACTGGTTTTGATACTTAGTTTACTTATGGAAAGTAAAGATTTATTTCTATACTTTGTTTACCTGTGGAAGTGAAGATTGATTTGGATACTTTGTTTACCTGTGGATAGTGGAGATTGGTGTCTACACGACTTAGCATGGTCAAAACAAAGGCTGCTGTTTTTCCTGTTCCACTCTGGCTCTGTGCGATCATGTTTACAGGACTGAAAAAATTATTTCAAATTCTTAAGGTATATGAAAAAAAATTATGCATGACTAATAACTGATAATCAGTTATTTTAAAAAACTCCCATTTTCAAAAATATCTAAAAATACTTCTTAACTTGCATTTATTCATGAACATGAAGATTCAATGTGTAAAACTTGAATTCCAAAAATTAAAAAAACTTACGGGTCAGCTAAAAGTACAGGTAATGCGGTTTCCTGGATTTTTGATGGTGTGTTGTACCCCATACTGTAAATTCCATCTAAAAGTTCCTTTTTCCTATGAATTGATGAAAATGAAAATATGCATTACTGATAACTAAAATTTCTCCAATTTTAAATTCCTCTAGAAAGGTATTATTCTACCAGATCTCTATTCACGCCAGGCTTTAAACGATTCCACAAAGTTTTGGCAGTTGCATTGTTAAGGTTATTCAAACCAAAATTTTTAATTTTACACTGAATCAAACTCACAAATTTAAAGCCTCGAATGACTTGACAGAGTAGAGTGGAGAATTGGGGTCCTTCTGTAAGACTTCTAAGTCTGCTTTAGAGGATACAAGCTTAGAATGGACCAACTTCCTGAGGAGGGAGGCTTCTTCTTTTGTTGTTCCTGGAAATATATCAAAACACATTCATCATTCAATACTAAGAAAAGATTTTTTTCAAATCTTACATATTTCAGACAGTTTAAATTTAAGATTTTATGCTAACATACCATTTTCATTTTAAGTATGCTAACTGAATAGTTTATTTCAAATGAAAAAACATATTACATGTAATACATGTATAGCTAAAATTTGCTAATTGGTTTAGCTACATATTAAAATGATAAAAATATGTAATGTGTTTCAATTGCATATCAACACAACTAAGATGTGTGTTTTAACTACAAATCCAATGTAACCAGTGTTTTCCCTTTATTTCAAAGTAAAGGGTTAGAGATCAATTGTAAAAGGCTAGGGACTGAGGTTTATGAACAAATCTCTGTGGAACTTACAACAATCATTTTTTAAATTTTTGATTTCTAAGCGGCATTTTTATCAATTGAAGTGGTCAATTTGGCCGGTAGCAGGTTCTTAGGGAAAACACTGGTAACGGAAAATTGCTATGTCTAACAACATATCAACATAAGATTTGCCTTGTGTTAAACTACAAATCAACATAACTAAGATTGTGTTTTAATTATACAATCATCAACATCACTAAAATTTCCAAGTATTTTAACTATACATATAGTTACATATAGTATTAAACTAATATTTGTCTTCTGTTCTAACTATATATCAACATAACTAAGAATAGCTATGTATTTTAACTATAATACCTTTCTCTTCATCATCTCCTGATGCTCCTGCCCCATCCTGAGCCTGGGACGGGGCAGCAGCCATGGCACCTGTCCCCTGGACAGGTCGTGGAGGTGCCTGACTTGTCTGGGTGGGGCCAGGCCGTGGAGGTGTCGTGGGGGTGTGGGCAGGGCCACTCTGAGCTGGGGCACTAGGAGATTTGGATGGGACTGTAGTTTTATCTAATGTAATTCTGTTAATCTGAAAATGAACAGTCAAGTAAGTAAACATATTCAAACTAGAAATTAAAATAAGTCTTATATTATTTTTATGTCATGCAAAAAGAAAATGAACATCATGCTTAGTGTTTTTTAATTATTATTTTTAAATATCAGTAATAACAAAATATGTTTTCTACAAATCTAAAATACTACTTTTTAGATATTATAAATGTTAAATACAATAATACAAGATTGTTATTGGCTAATGTGAAATTAGTTTAGCAAACCAGCATAAAAGAAACATTTAATTCACACACTATTACAATTGATTTGCATGCAAAATGTAAATAAATGAAGCAGTAAAGTCTGAAGAATGTTCTTGATTTCACTCATGTTTGTCTGCCTATATTTCCACATTGCCTATATTTCCACATTGCCTATAAATTTCCATATGTCTATTAGTCTATCTGTCCTCTGCACAATATCTCTGAAAGTTGTGGATGGATTTCAATGAAACATTAACTTAAACAGAGGTTGTGGCCTGGCCACAAAGAATTAATTAAATTTAGGAAGGTATGGCCACTAAATTCCCTCCTAAATTTTCTTTTTACCTCCATCCACTGTCAAAAAAGATATCTCTGATACTATACACATAGCTTCTTATGAAATCTTTGAAATCAATCATTTGTCAATGTATCTTAATTCAGGCAAGGAAAGTTAGTTGAAGTAAATTCTCCTTAAATGAAATATAGAGATAATGAACAGTATTCAAGTTCAAAGTCCATCTAGACAATACAAATCAGGAGCTCAGCAAACACAGACTTCCAAAAACATCAGAGGTGGGACCAGGTGCCATGGAGGAGTGAGCATCCCCTGCAGACCTGTCACATCTGCTGTGTGCTCCTTGTCATGATTCAGAAAAATGGAAAATCAGTAGACAATTCAGTGTGTAAATAATGGCCTAACAATTAGTATGAAAAATGTCAGTCAGAATTTGACTTGATGACAGGTTGTATTTGCTGACAAGGTCATTGTATCGACCATAAAACTTGCAAAATGATGACTTCAAACGAGACTGTTGATACCCTTGTTTCATCAACTTGTTTGTCAATAGCTTGCCTCGTTTTATGTATTTTTCATACTTAGAGCATCTCTTGCATATCGAATCAACTGGGAGACAAAACCCCCATATGCAGGTGATAAGAGTATATAGCTGCATAAGTAGGGGAAGTTGACAATTGAAAAATTGAAGTCTTCACATTTATCATAAAGCTTTGTTGTTAGGTTACCATTCGTATATATATATATATATATATATATATATATATATATATATATATATATATATATATATATATATATATATATATATAAAATATATATAATTTATATATATATATAAAATTTCGAGTCCATAAATATTGCATAAGGCATAAGGATAGGTCACACTACAACATGGACAGAGGAAGATAACTCTAAAATGGACACTGAAATTCAAGTAGGAGAGGCTAAATGTTATCTCAGCGCTCTCTAGTGTACAACTTCATAGGAAGTGATCTGTGGGAATACTAAAAAACAGACAATGTACCATGCAATTTGAGTTGTTTTAATAGTGTCTAGCATAAATGAAGAAGTACATGCAATCTGATAACAACTGCTAAATGCTATTGTGCAGAAAAGTATTATAGTTAACACTGTATATACAAGAGGTTATCAAAAGCTTGTGGACTAGCACCATAATAATAAAAAATAATTCTGCTTAAGAAGGAATTCCATGAATGAAATCAATGACTTTTTACACATTTGATCAACATCATCTTTTCTGTCTACAAAATAAAGTATGTAATACAGTTTATACTTGAATAAATTGTCAATGTTTTGTATTAAGCTTGAATAAATTGTCAATGTTTGGTAAGCAATGGTATGACCACTCCATACTGTGCAACCTCAAAATATGACATAATTCTAACATGAGTCTAAAGAAAAAAAAAATTTTGAGATGAGCATTTGTTGGCCAGTTTTCACATAATTTTGCATGTATGATGTGACAGAATTGTTCTGTAAAATTCACAATTTTCAACTAATTTTGTCAGTTCCATGAGGTCTTATTAAATTCAATATAGAGTGCTTAAAATTAGTGGCTAAAAATGATGTCAGAACTGGTGTGTGCATATTTGTTGTTTTACCACAATTTATAGCTTAACTTTGGGAAAAAAACTGGCATTAGACTTTGGAAATATTTTAATAAGTTAGTGAGAGAGACAAAATAAGTCTAGATTACACGTTTTTAAATGGCACAAATGATTCAGAGAAAGGAGAGACACATTTATTGCTGAAACGTGATTCTGGTGTCCAAAGTCAGACATGCTGAAAAATATTGTCACTTGCATGCAGTAGAAATTGAACTCCAACAAGTGGATTAATTAAGCTGCCAAAGTATAGATCCATTTACATTACTGTGTTTTGAAATCAGCTGTTCTTGAAATTTTAAACTCTCATATAAAACAAGATATTAGGTTTCAGTCACTGTTCAACACCAATGTATCTTGTCAAGAAAAGTGTATTGAGGCAGAGGGAATGGATGTTGAGAAGCAATGACATTGTTGAACGTCATAAAACTCAATGACGACAGTGCCGAATGATCATGTAATGTCTTCTTTACATTAAGTTTCTTTTTCAGGGATACAATGGCAGATTATCAAGGTATCAAACTAAAATTTTCAACACTTCTTAAATTTTTGTTGTTTTATGTCCCTTATAAATTTTGTAAGCACAACCAACTTAGTATGAATTTTATCGCATCAGTCCACAAACCCCTCCTAGCTACAGTTCTGTAGATTCAATCTAAAGGCAAGAATCTACCAATCAATATACAACTGTATCAAATTAGTATATACTATGCATGTATGAAATTTTGTATAAAATGCTTCTTTGTTAAGAGAACAAAGCATCAATGCATTATTTTAGATAATATTAATGGCCATGTTACTATATGCACCTAAGCCAAACAATCCAATGCATTAACAACAGATGCATTTACAGATCTAAATGAAAAGTAGTAAATATATATATTTCCTAATAAGTAAAATAAGCATACCCCCCCCCCCCCCTTAAATAACTCTGTAAAACATGAGTGCATGTTACTATCATTGTGGTGCAAGTGTAATTAGGAAAGCAATAATAATTCTAGATCCAATTCTTTAAGTGAATTAGACAAGAAATCAATCACTGATATTTTACTGCAATAGAACATTCTACACAGCAGAGTGTGAAAACCAGGCTGACTTGAAGCACTCCAACATAAGCTACAAGAGAGTGACATAGAGAGACTATGTTACAACACGCTTATATACCTCTTGTGACAAGTCACTTTTCTCAACTTCTTCCGCCCAGTTCAATGACTGGCTACCTGTTCCTGGAGTCTTTTCAAAACATAAACAATATTCTATAGTTCAAATATAAGCTTATACACTTGTACTTTATCATGTTTACTGAGCCAAAATCAAAATCTAAATTTTCAACAACAATTTTCTTCAACAAATTTCCATGCAAAAGCTAATGTTATCATTGATGCATGCAAAAGTTAAAGTTTTAATTCCTACAACAAGAAATCTAAACATACAATCTTTTCTAAGGCAAACTTCAAACAGCAATACTGATGCAGTATTAAAACATTTTTTACATAAAGAGTGAAGTTCATAAAATTGAAGTCAAATAGAACTATTTTTTTTAAGTTGCGACATTTTCAAGTTTCAACATTTGAAATGGAAAGTTATCTCTGTATTCTAGATACTTTTTACAGCAAAAGAAGCAAGCTCTATAGACTAATATAAGAACTGTGGGGATTTGAACTGAAATCTGCACATTTGTCAAACAATTTTTTTGTGTTCCAGTTCTCTGGATACCACAATAACTAGAGAACATTTATTTGTTAATGGTGGGCAAACAAGGTAACCAAAAATTACATGGAGTTCTTGCAGAAAGCTCCAAAGAAAAAAAACATTTTCTAGGAAAGAAAATATATCAAGGATTTTCCTTTAAAATATGCACTCTTTTTTCTCCAATATGATAATGCAACTGACATATGACAGATGATGTGACATCACAAGCTAGACTGCCTCTGACCTCTAAGCATCCAGTGAAACATGGTTTATGAAGAGGTGGATCTAATTTTAAAGTTTATGTAAAGGTTTTTAATGGATAAACTGTGCTCACCAAAATGGTCACATCCTCATATATTTTACATATTACCTCATGGTCAAAGTGTCAACTCAAACACAAATTATAATAATATTAAATATCAGCCCTACAATTTTTTCACAATAAAAAATTATAGCAAAAATCAGATCATTCACTAATATACCAGTAACCAGTTATAAGGTAATAGCTAATAAAACCAAGTGAAGATTTATTCTGTTTTGGGTATATTAATTAAATAAATGTGAATACTGTCTAGGTCCAACAATCTTGTATTCAGTAAAAGGTAAATATTTTCATAGAACAATTTTCATGAATTATTATTTCAAACTTCTCTACAAAAGAGTATTGTAAAACTCTTATTCTGTATTTACCTGCTAATTGTAATACACATTCACTCAAAACAAATGCAATCATAAATTATTATAAAAAGATTAATATATTAAAATAAATAAATAAATACTGACTGAAAAATGATCTATTCAAATCCAAAATCTTAGCATCTTCGTTAGGCAAATGTTTTTTGATCCACTCCTCACAAACCCTTGGCCTATTTTGATATCAAAAGTTGTGAATTTTTTCTTGGGGTGTGATTGGAGATGATTGATATATTGTTCAACCAATCAGTGAGGCAAGTACTATAATTAATGATTATATCTCTGTTCAGGATTTTTCTTGACTCTTAAGTCTTGGAAATGAAAAACATAATGTCATTCTATAAATACATACGGCATCATCCAATGTGAAATTAATGTGCACATATTGTAATCTGGAACCTATGTTGCAGATATAGACTTGCAACTTAAATAACATATAAACATCCACCAATGCCTCCTTGTTAAATATTTTTTAAATACTAATATATTTTTTTTAAAAACGTTCTTTATTTCTGTCATCAATGACACAAGTGATGTGTATGAGGTAAGATTTAAGATCATGTGACATAAACAATCCTGATTTCTGACAGCATGATAGGCCAAGGGTTTGAGAGGAATGTACAGATCAGAAACACTTGCCTAGTGAAGATGAAATTTTCATTCTTAGGGGAAAAAATCTTTTATACACATATACATGTACATTAAAGAAAAGAAAATATTTCATAATCTCATTTTTCATGATCTCATATTTCACAATTCTTAATGTTTTGTATCCATATCTTTGATCTTAAAATGTAAACAGTCTAGACAAACTCCGAAAACAGAGATACTGGAAGTGAGAAATTCAGACTAAAAGATTCTGAAATTGGAGTCCACCCATGTGCACACACACAAAAAATGTTGGCTTTGAGACAAAAATTCTAGGCTTACTTAAACAACTTGAGCAAAGAGTTGGAAAGTCTGGCAATAATATCAGTACTCTGGAATGCTTCATAATAAATTTTGGAAGTCATATTGATCATTTTTTTTATATTCTAGACTATTTGAGAAACTAAACTTATTTTCATTTCAAATTTGATGTTTCAATGAAGATATCATTTATAGTTAAAAATTGTGATTTGAATGTTATGAAGCGATATAAAGTCATCTATAGATATTGATCATGTTGATTGAATTGTATTAAAATGAAATCAAGCAATTCAGATTTTTTTGATTGAAGTATTGAATTTGAAATTGTATATATACACATCACGATAATGCAAAAATTGGTTAATATCTACAAAAATATTTTAATAATTGCATTTTTTTTACTAAATAAAAATAAATTAAGTCAAAATGTACTAGATAGAGCAATTATGCCACTGTATATTTGGAGAAAATGAACAACATTCCATTCTTTGTTTACAACAGATATGACATATACACCATTTACCACAATGCATGACAGTGCGAAAGACTTTGTTTTTTGGAGTTCACTCCATTTTCAGAGTTCATCTAGACTGATAAATGCACAATTCTGTGTCTTCACAATAGTGTGTGAAGTTTACCTGACTTGTCAATGCTTGTTCCTGGGAGTCAACAGCAGCTCCCCAGTCCAGGTTTGCCATCTTATGTCTGTTGAGAATAAATTGGCTGATTATTAACTATTTATAATTAAAAACCTCTGGTTTACTTAGAATTAGAGTACAATAATAATAATGCCTTACATTACACAAATTCCATTAATAGAATCTATATTCCATTGTCACATTGACTCATAAATGAATGATTCATAAAATTATAAACAGTCTCACACACGTGCGTAGTTCGTAATTTTCCGCCAACAGAAAGAAAAGGGTTTTCTCAAAATCAAAGTTTTTGACAGAAAATGAGTACAGATAGCCCCCCTTCTCTATATATGCATGTATATATATTATGTGTATTTGCCAATGTTCTATAAAATTGACATACAGTACCTTTTCTTTTTTTTTTTATTTTGATACTCTGAATTCAACTTTCTGTTTCTCAAACCGTTCTTTAACTTGTACGACTGAAATTCGCTCTAAATAAAACTTTCAAAGAATATAAAAATCTAACTCTAAGAACTAATTTTGTTACACTGATTTATGTTTAAGCTTATACTTTTCAGTCTTTTAGCTTTACTTTGCTTTCGAGCCTAAAATGGGTTTAGTCGATGTATCGACATAAGTTACGTTCGAGTTATCTGATCTTAAATATTTTTCACAAAAATATCCAATTATAATGTTCATTTAGTAAATTACGAAACACGGGTGCATTTTTTTTTTTTAAATTATTATTTCTAATTTTATTTTGGTACTATTTTCTGCTTAAATATATTTCTAGTCAGCAAGATGTTTTATGAAAAGAGTTTCCACAGCAAATTTAAAACTCTAACTTGATACCGACCAAAGCTTCTGATGAGGATGAAGTGTCATGTACTCGTTTTCTTTCTTTTATTTTTTATTGACTGCTTTGCAGATGAGGACTTGTATGATGTACTTGGGATTCGTAGGACAGCGTCGACCAAAGAAATAAAGCAAGCCTACAAAAATCTAGCCAGAGAATGGTAGGTCCACAGGGAATCTCTCAATCTCTTGAAACACTTGATCCCTCAAAGTCAAAATGCAGTCCCACTATGCATAATCTATTGTAATTTACCCTTGATACCTCAAAGTAGTTATATGTACGCAAGCATTAACTAATTAACACCTTTATCTGGACATTTAAATGGCTGCAGACCAACATGATTTTGAAGAATACAAAAGAAGTTGGACTGAAAATAACTACCAAATTAATCATAACTAACCTTTCAGAGCTTTTATATGCCTTTTACCCGGAAAAATAATCATGTTTACTATTAGTTTTTCCAAAATAAATCACAACTTTTTCATCAATCTTTCTATATAGTCATGTATTCCTATGTAATAATTATGTCTGTCAGTATAAGGAAGGCTGCACTTCATTTCCTGAATTTTTTGAAATTTTCAATTTTTCATTTCCGACATTTTTAGTTTTCATTTCCGACATTTTCAACTTTTCATCTCAGACATTTTTCAGGTAGTAATTTTTGGCAATGAAAGCAAGATTGAAGACTTCACTTATAAAAATTTTAAAGAATAAATCATGAATAAATCTTGGAAATCCAATAAAAGAGTTTTGCCTAGCTATCAATGAAGTGAAAATAAAAGATTTCTTTCTTTCCCTGAGGCACTTGTAAGTGTTGTGGAATTTTTCTCATCTCCTTTTCAAATGTTCAGTTTAAGTTTGAAGTCGGATATGTTTGATGGAAATTATAAGGCATATTTTGAAAATGTGGTTTGAAATAAAGTTTTTTAAAATTCCATTTCCACCTAATTGGTTAACATTGGTACCCTACAAAAATTCTGGAAATGAAAAAATAAATGTCGGAAATGAAAATAAAAATTGTCAGAATTGAAATTTAAAAAATGTCAGAAATGCTATGCAAAATTTCAGAAATGAAATGCAGTGATAAAATTAAGGAAATGGTTTGTCAAAATACACTGCAGTGCAAATGTTCATAGTGGCTTGTATACAAGAGTTTTACGCAAGCCCTAGCATTTCAGAGATTTAAAATTGATGGCAAAATTACAGGAAATTTGGTATTTCCTCACATGATTAGAATGAATTAAATGCTTTCTAAGGTTTAGCATTAATGTTACACCATTAAATTATTGGATTTAAAGCAACTGTTGATTTTAATTACACAGAAGTACGGGGTAGCAGCTATTGAATTTACATTGATACATTACAGACATGATTATAAAAGACTAAAACTTGGTTTAAACTCAATTGGAAAATACAATCTCTGGGATAAAACATACCATCTTGCATTAGGTTGATTGGTGTAAATCTGTCACTTTTAATAAGAATTTAATTTTCACAATATTATGTGGGACCTTCTGCTGGCAAAAAATTTCATTTGTTGTTGTGATCTATAGCATGTTCATCTGCTCTGTAGTGATAAATTTATAGCTAACTTATGCTACAAAATCTTTATGTGAAATTTTATAAAAACATACACATGTACTTATTTTACAGGCATCCTGACAAAAACAAAGACCCATCAGCAGCAGATAAATTTACAAAAATCAATGAGGCATATGAGGTATTCAAATTCATCTTTAATCACAGTTGATTTGCTGTTCTATAAATCATAAGTACATATAGCCTGAATTAGGATAATGTCTGAAGAATGCATTACATATAATTCTTATAGTACTATACATCATACTCATATGAAAAACACAATTCTAAAACTTGGCTCATCAATCATCTGTAGGGGGGATATACATGTATAATGTAGTACATGTACTGTGTATATATAATGTAGTACATATATAATGTAGTACGAGGGGCATTTCAAAAGTTCTGGCAACTGGTGTGCGGTAAATTAATGAGTGTCATTATCATAAATTAAATTATATCAATCCCTCAAAATAGTCTCTGTTGACCTGGACACACTTTTTCAGTCTTGAAATCCACGTGGAAAATGCTGCCCTGTAGTCCTCTTTCGGTATACGCTTCATACACTGGAATACGGCACTTCCGACTGCATGACGACTTTCAAATCGCCGTCCTCGGAGGGCTTCTTTGATAACGGCATTTAACCAAAAATCGCATGGAGCTAGGTCAGGACTGTAGGGTGGATGTGGTAAAATGGCAGTACCATTTTCCTTTAAATATTTGGTTACTACCTCTGATCTATGGGCAGGTGCGTTGTCATGGAGGAGCTTTATTCCTCTAGTACTGGTTGTTGGTCGGTTCATTTTATAGTGCTCTACAACCTGAGACAAGACATTCTCTGCATAAAATTGACCAGTAACACTGCTGTGTTTTGGAACCGGAACTTGAGCAACAGGGCCTTTAGAATCAAAAAATAAGGCGTACATTACTCTCCGGACAGACTGGTTTCTGCGTGCAATTTGAGGCCTTGTATCATTTTCACCGATCCAAACTTTATTATTGAGCTTAGTTTCCGGTTCAAAAAAATATATCCACGTTTCATCACCAGTTACAACCTCATTTATTCGCCTTTGGTCACAATCTTCATAAATTGTAAGTAACTGTGAAGCCATTTCTACCCGGATGCGCTTTTGCTCATCCGAGAGAGGATGCGGCACCCATCTAGCACAGACTTTCCTAAGCTTTAAGTTTTCCTTTAAAATACAAAAAACTGCTGACGAATTAATGTTAGTTAAGTCTGCTATTTCCTCAACTGTATATCTAGCATCATCAGCTATCGTATTTTGAACAGCGACGATTTCTTTTTCGCCATATGCACAAACTGGACGCCCCAAACGGGGGTCATCTTCAATTGATTTTCTACCCTCTTTAAATTGAACTACCCATTTTGCTATTGCTCGATATGAAAGAGCATGCTCTCTATATACTACATCTAAATCGGCTTTTATTTCTGTTGCCGTAAAGCCAAGCAATGAGCGAATTTTGCAATGCGCTCTTTGCTCAACAAAAAAATTGTTCTCCTTATCAGTCATTTTTACGCCCAGTATACAGAGTATTCCTAATTATGACATCATTTTAGCAGACCTATACGTCATTTTGAATGTAAAATGACGTCACTACTAATGCATATTTGCCTAAGCTTTACAGTGGTATCAGAGTCATTTTAATCCATAACGTAGTTAAAATTTTATATACCAGTTGCCAGAACTTTTGAAATGCCACTGTGTATATATAATGTAGTACATATATGATGTAGTACATGTACTGTGTATATATAATGTAGTACATATATAATGTAGTACATATACTGTGTATATATAGTGTAATACATATATACCGGTAATGTAGTACATGTACTGTTTGGAATATTAGAATCAGTGAATAAAATGCAAACTGGTTATCAACTATCTGTTTGTTCTTCAGACACTGGGGGACCCAGAACGAAGGAGACAGTATGATAAGTTTGGTTACACCTCAGCCAAAGAGCACAGACAGCAAAGCAGGGGCAGTCCATTTGGTGACCCATTTGGAGATCCTTTTGAGGGATTCTTTCATCATTTTGGGGGGTTTGACTTCAAATTTGGAGGATCAGGGTTTTCAGACACTTTCATTGAGAAGAATAATATCAACATGAGGTGAGAACCCCAGTAACTTGGGACATTCCTGATTCTTAATCATCTTATAAGGCTTGTGTTAATTGATGTACATGTATTCTTTCCATAATTAACAAAAAGACCCATCACTAACAATATATAAGTTTTACTTTCTTTTTTGAAGAGTTTATGAAACCAAGATACTACCAGAGAGTCACCAGAAGCCTTATGTTCTATATGCCTATGCCGAGTTTTGCTATGAATGTGTTCATTTGGAGCCTGTTCTTGAGAAATTATTTAAAGAACTAGAGTCTGTTGGTAAGGACAAGTTCTTCAAGTCACAATAAACATCAGTATTACCTGTACTGAGTAACTTTCAAGTCATCTTTTTGACCTATCTCAGGCCTCTTGATTGTCTATAATTGGGGCCATTCAAGAGCCCCATTCCTAATTCAAAAAAGGTACCTTTTTTCCCAATTGAATGTGTGAATTTTCCCAATAGTCATTTCTCCCAAATATTAAAGAAAATATAGTTGGATATATAATAACTAAACTTGCTATTCATATTCCTCTATTGCAAAACAAAAATTTAGTTGATAACAAAGACTAGAAATCCAATACATCATGATTTAATGTATAATGGTTATCCCAAATTTCCCAAAAGGTCGCTATTTTCCCAATCTTTACGGCCTCACCCTGATTCCCAGAAAGTTGTGTGAGAGCACTGCATCTATAGTTATTTAGAGAAAATTTGATTGAAATGTGAAAGAGTATGTTAATAATGGTATGATAGTGTTAAACTTATATTGTGATAGGTTGGTATGTTTCCTTGTGTATTAGGTAATAATGTCTATTGCTTTCTTATGTTTTCCTTTTAACTTTCTAAGGGATTGGCATGGGAACCTTCCATGCAGGAAAAGTACAGCGGTTGGCAGTGGAATTGAGAATTACTCGAGTTCCAAGGATAATGGCTGTGATGAATGGACGTGTCACAGACTTCAGGGGCCGCGTCACACTTCACAACCTTAGACAGTTTGTTAGAGGGCTCTTTCCACAGAAGTTGATTCAGTCTGTAAGCTTAATTTTGCACCTAAAATGTATCAAATTCATACATGTATTTCATATGAAATGACAGTGTGTTGATAATTTTTTTAATGATTCCTTCCTTGGACAGTATTTGCAATTGTAACAAACTCTTTAATCATAGATAAATGACAGAAACATTAATGACTTCCTGAGTGGCTGGGAGGACAACCACATGAGAGGAATTTTCTTTTCCCCAAAGGAGGAAATTTCTGCTCTGTTTTTGGCCCCAGCTTTTTACTACAAAAGTTTTGTAACATTTGGGCATGTCAACACGAACTCTGATGATGTGTACAAACTCCTGAGGAAGTTCAATCTTCACAGTGGACATAAAAGTCTGTTAATGTTTAATGAGGACAGCCAGTCACCTGTGGCATCACTTAGTGTAAGAATATATTGTTTGTTAATATTTCCAGTGTTATTAAGTTTTGATGTGCACAAATTCTATTTTTTAATTTTATTTTATTACAGCTGTAGCAGAATTCTTCCCAAACTTATTGTTATGTGGAAAATGTCAGTCCTTCATATATTTTAAAACAAAAATATAAACAGCTTTAATAACTTGAATACAATTGATAAATACAGCTAAACTTCGAAATCTCGAACACGGATATCTCAAATACCCCGGATATGTCGAAGTAAGGCTGCGGTCCCGACGAAATTTGCTTTATAAATGATTAAAATAAACCCTTCTATGTCGAACACGGTAATGTCGAATACCCCGGTTATCTCGAAGTAAAATTGTGTACCCATTCTTAAAATCACATGCGTTATCTCGAAGTCAGGATAATTTTTCGCTCTGATGATCAAGTCCGCTAGGTAAACTGAATGCTCTGTTGAAAACATCCACATGTCTGTCACGCACGGGTTACCTGTATTCCTGTGATCAACAGATAATAGCGCGATAATTATACGAGGTGTATGTATGGCTTACCTTGATTTTAATTATGCAAGCCAAAGGTTGTGTGTATATGTCTTATGCATACGCGTGGATGACACGTTAATTGTTTTGTGGCTGGGGTACTTTATCTTGATAATCGCTATATATTTAAGCATAGTTTACGCATATGAAAGCGAAAATTATAAACATCAAAGTGAAACAAAATTCTGTAATTTAATGCAATTAGAATTTATTTTTCCTATATGAGCGCGCAGAATTTACAATCGTCAGTACACACCGTCATGTGATCATGTGTCGCAGTGAAAACTCAAGTTGTGTTATAGTGCCCTATGATTCAGCGTTGTTCTGTAGTTAGACAAAAGTGCGTGTTTCTTCTTTTGCATTTTTTTTTATTACGGTAAAATATTTTCTTTTAACTGATTATACATGTATGAACATGTTTTTCCAATAAAAAAAAATGTATATATATTTCGTTTGCGTTATTCTGACAGCGACCGGTTTTAAATTTACAATGCATAGACGATATCCGGTTATGTATACATGGGAAACGATGCAAGCAGTTGACTTGCTGGGTTGGTAGAAGGATTATACTTCTGTGCATATTGTACAAAGTTTTTATTTTGTGAATTATAAAGAGGATGTAAAAATCTTTTTAATGCTAAATACATGATTGTATATGAAAGAAATTGTAAACAAAATTTTCAAACAAGAAGGAATTTTACATGTTTCTAGTAAGTGCATGTTCACTGCACCAAGTATATTTGAAGTTCATTAGAATTATAACCCTCGATATGTCGAACCCCCCAGATATCTCGAAGTTCATCAACGGTCCCCTCAACTTCGAGATAACGAAGTTTAACTGTAAATTAAAAATATATATATACTGTATTTAACAATGGTGCAGGATGTGTACGTATATATGTATCGTACATGTTAGTAGAGACACACTGATTTATTTATGATTACTGTATTTTCAGATGCAGCAAATGTCTCGTTCGACCATTGATGAAGTCATTGAGTCAAACAAGTTTCTTTTGCTGCCTCGGATTTCTTCACAGACTTATTTTGAGCAGCTATGTCCAGCAGAATTAAAAGCCAAACGCAAAAAGTATGACCCTCGTAAATTCATTTCAAAATTTGGTTTCAATACTAGTACATGTATACAGATTATTGAACACTCTCTTAAGATTTCTTTTAATGATCAAAAGTTCCAATTACCTTTCCTCATACTTGACTTATAATTTTCATGCAAATATTAAATAAAGTAAGTTTTTACTCTCTTCACCATATACGAGGGGTTATCAAAAAGTTCGTGGACTGACGCGATAAAATTAATAATATGTAGTCTTTGCTTACAAAATTTACGCGGAACATAAAACAACAAAAGTTTAAGAAATGTTGAAAATTTTAGCTTGATACGTTGATAATTTGCCAAATTATTCTAAAATTAAAAAGACTTTATGTGATCACCCGGCGCTGTCGCCGTTTAGTGTCATGACGTCCGCTTAACGTCATTGTTTCTTAATGTCCGCTCTCTCTACCTCATACACTTATCTTGATGAGATTACCTGGAGTTAAGTAAGGACTTAAACCCGTATTATTTATATGAATTTACAATGTCATGAGCAGCTGTTTTCAATGCATATAATATTGTAAATGGATCTTTATATGAGGAAAGATCCTCACTTGATTATGCCAGAATACTTAGCTTGTTGGAGTTCAATTTCTACCACACAAGATCAATGTCACTTTTCGACGTGACTGACTTTTGACACCCTGACTACAAATCGACACTAACTGTGCATATTTCATCTCTCTGAATCTTTTTGGGCATTAAAAAACAAGTACTCTGGATGCATTTTATTTTTCTGTAGCCAGTTTAAACATTCCTTATGTCAATACCAGTTTTTCCAGGAGCAAAACTCTATAGAGTGTTTGAAAAAGAAACCCCTCCCCCTTTTTGATGTTATTTTCAAGCCCATAATTGTTTGGACACTCCATATAAAATTTACGATAAAATTTCATAGAAATTACAGAATGGGGTTAAAATTGCAAATTTTACTGAACAAATGTTTCGTACCACATGCCTGAATTAACAAGATTTTTTGATGACAAATACTCACATCTAAAGAGTTTTTCTCAGTTACACTCAGGTAGAAAAAAACGTCATATTAGAGGTTGCGCCGCCTGGACATACCTTTGCTTACAAAAACACTAACAATTTATTAAAAAATAAAAATTATGATTTATGGTTTATTCTATAGATAGAAAAAGATGATGCTAACTAAATGTTTAAAAATTCATTGATGTACCTAAAGCGGTTTTAATTTTATGACGCTAGTCCACAAACTTTTTGATAACCCCTCGTACATGTATGTGCACTGTTAATGAATATTCTTGTACTTGTCAATCGGAAATATGAATATAGTCTTTAACATAATTGCTATGTCATATAAAGTGAGAATGATCTTCTATTTGCAGGTTGTGTGTGGTGCTTATTACCAAAAAGAGTGAGGAGAATGAGAGACAGAAATTCAGGAGATATCTGCAGAAGTCCAGCTTTCTAAATCATGAGCGGGTGAGGTTTACATATATGTATGAAGAAACTCAGGCTAATGTCATCAAAACCCTGAGTAAAAACGAGGAATCAGATAGCAGTGGAGCAGAAAAGGTAGGGTTATTGTTACAGTTATAGTGAATGATGAGTTTTTTTCCAGAGAACTCTATTATTTTGTAATTCTCTGCATACAAAGATGTAGATATGGGTAATGCTTTTCTAAAAAAAAGTTCCAGAAATACATTCATGCTCCAATGGGTAATAATGTTCATATGATATGAAATTAAAGAGGTAGATTTAATACGCTTTGTTAGAAAACAGAGAAAAATAATTTTTTTAAAAATATGCACAATTGTACTAGTGGGTGTAAGCATATTTCAAGACCTCGGATAATAAAACACAACACAAGTTTGTATCATGTACTTCTGAATAATATAGTCCTCCTATAGCATGATATAATCAAGATCAAATACATCACAATTCCAAATTTTGTTTCATTCTGAAGTAGAATCGTCGTTGTCCATTTTCATATTGAAAAAAAGTTGGGTTTGTTTTTGTACCACTTTTACATCCACTGCCAAATTATCTTACAGAAATTCCCGCTTGCACATCATCACAGTCTTGGTCTGTTTCTTTTTGCCAGCCTCTTAAATTCATTTCACTTGCACTTTTTTTTAAAAAAAATCATCATCTTGTAGTGTATTTGTTGAAATCACTTCATAGTCAATGCCAAATAATCTGAAGGCTCAACTTTCACTTATAAATCAGTATTAATAATTCAGCTTTACAATCACCAAAACAAGTTCCCTAACACTGCTAAGTCACACTGTATACAACACATGTTCTATATCATTGAAATCATCATTTAACAAAGAATATTTTCAATGCTGGCAGAAACTCCGAGGCAATGTATGAGGCAATCTTTTTTTCAAAATTTTCCAAAATGTGTTTGAATGTAATCCATAATCATTTATAATTTTACTTCAATGTTTTCAAACTTTTATACAAACTTTGCTACATGTAATTACTTTAACTTTTGTAGATTCTGAAGAACGTTTCTAATCAAAGTTTTTCAGAAAACAGTGACAGGCTTGGTCTTAACATACTTTTTCTTTTGAATTTGTACAGAACGTGGTGATCATCTGGAGAGTAGAGAAAAATCACCTGAGTTATGAATGGCTGAAGAATGCCTTTACCAAAGAATCGGACTTGCTAAATCTCCAAAAAGAACTGGAAGAAAGAGTCAAACAGTTGTTAAATTCTGACGAGTCACTAGCCTACAGAACCGTACTGCCAGAATTCCATAATGAACATGCTTTGGTAAGTATTCACTGAGCTGTATGCTCAGGCCTTGAATTTTGTGATACAAATTGTAATTTTTAAGCAGTGTTCACTTCAAATTTGCTCAAAAGATGACTTTTTTTCACTACTTGATAAATATTATTTCTATGTTAGATAACATTGCTGATCAACATATCCCCCTGAAAATCATTCTCAGAAATATAAAGCTCCAGTCATTAGATTTTGATAAAATACACACAGCAGGATTGTTTATTCTACACATTTTAACAAAGTCCTGCTGCAAGTATATCTATGTAAGGTTCATGATTCCAAACTTAAAGGGTATCACACAGTGTAAGGACAGGGGAACATTTTTCAAACAGAAAATCTGTTATCAAAAATCCTTTTTTTTATCAGTTTAATCAGTTTAATCATGTTAATTAGATAAATTAAAAACTTTAAAATGCAGAGTTCAGACATCCAGTATTTCAGTCATTCTAGTGATTCTACATGGATGATAGTTTTATGTAGAATTACAGCAGTTCTACGCATAGTTCTAGTTTGATTTAAAATGTCTGAATATTTTGATTTATACTGTCTGAATGTGAGGCTTATTTAACGTGTTTATATTACTGCTATGGATTTCACACTAGAATACTCCTACCAAATGTACCATTTATCATGCTTAATGTAAATCAGAGAAAGTCAACATGATTCAGTCACTGTCCGGGGACTATTAGCTTTACTTGATCATGCAGAATCTGATCATTTTCTAGTAGAGTGCACATTTCTTATCTGTGCATTGATGACTTTTTTAACTATAAAGGTGAAGTTACTTGGTTTACTTCTATGAATGCTGTATGTGAAAAAAAAGTACATGTTAGAAGGATGTAAATGTTTCTTGATTAATACAGTAAAACGTGCAATTACATTTATAATGAATGAAAATTGTTCATCCCTGGCACTTAGTTTTAAGTGTGTTTTACTTTATCCTGTATATTCATTGTTGAGCTGGACTTAATGACATTGTTTTTGGGGGTTTTTTTTGGCAGCATCTTTTAGTTCGAATCTTTCATAGATTTCAACACTGGGGAGAAAAACTCTGGATATTTGTAACAAGGTAAGTAAAAACTCTTAAAGGAGAAAACTGATTTCTGTTCGGGGGGGGGGGGGGGGGGGGGGGGGGGGGGGGGGTAACATTGCAATTTTCTGTCTAACATGTTTTTGAGATTGATTTTAATGAACCAGGATAATTTGACAGTGTTCCTGTTGTTCTTTAAAGCTATATATGGTGTATCTGAGCTAAAAAGTAAAAATACAAGATTGAGTGTAGATAACATTATATATGTTATTTATGCTCAAATTCAAATTTTCACTGATTTTGAACTTGAATAACCTCATGTTTCCATAGTTAAATTAACTTTAAACTGTGTCTGTTATTTAAATGCGGAGTCGGTAAATAAATTGGTTATTGTTTTAAATTTCTAATATTTTTGAAACATTATTGATTTAAATTGTGTACTTTACAGGAAAGTCCTATCTTTATCATGTTTATATAAAGTAATAAAACAAAAAGAAAGATCCTTTTAATTTTAGTTAGCGTGAACTTATAAAAAATATGCCATATATGACTTTGAATAAGACTTTAAAAAGATTGTTTTTTTTGGGGGGGGGGGGTTAATTTCACATATTTCCTTTTGCTGGAGGGTATTGTGAAAGATTGTGTTAATAACTATTTTTACCCTTTTGTCGGTAGCATGGACCCTGTCACAGTCCTTACCCTGTTTATGGCTATTGCTATGGTTTTTGGAATGGGTTATTTTATGTCTACAATGGCACAAATTGAGGAAGAACAGCTGAGAGAGAGACAGCCAAGACGGTACAGACCCAGACCCCCATCCAGGTAAAAACACCTGTATAAATACTAATTCGAAAGCTTCTAATTCATAAAAGGGATTTATATTCTAACCTCACTACACTTGTAAAAGTAAACTCTTCTTATCAAAGTTTAATCGTGTTTGTGTAAACTTTGTGGTGAGATTCCTAAGTAAAAATTATCAAAGAATTTCTGGTACATGTATATGTCTGTCTGTGTAGAAAGTTTTCTTCCTGGTGTTGTGTTTAGTTTTAATGTGGATGATTTTCAAAATGAAAAATGGGTAAATCATTACTCAATTGGAATTGACTTTGATCTTGACCTTTTACCTTTAACGTGATTAATTTCCTTTATTTATATACTTGTATTAAAAGTGATAAAGCACACTTACATGTATTTCAATACATGTTTGGAAATATATTGAAATGTTTATCTTTTAAGGGGGATCAACAGGGTTTTAATTATAATTTTACTTTATAATTCAACTTGTATTGAGATAATTGAACTACTGCCGACATGCCTTGACCTTTGACCTTGAAATTGATATATTGACCTGTCTTATGGGAGACCTAGATGAACCAGTACTTGTAGATAGTACAGCTTCAACGTCTTAGAGTTTTTGCATGTTTCTGACAAACATTAAGATGATATAAGCTCTAATTCTTTGATTTTTAAAAATGTTGTCACTTGTTTCTAGTCATGTATCAGTTAAACTGGGTGATAATGTATATGCATTTGAGAGGATCTGTAACTCAAAATAATTATTGTCCTTGCAATTGAAAAAGATACACATCTGAGGAAATTGTAAATAAGTTTGTGATAAGTGTGCTAATACGATTTTTTTTGGTATACTCTAGGACTCCCGACCAGAAGAGAGTAAACCTGTATGAATTGACACCTGACACGTATGATACCCTCGTTCTGAACTCGGACGCAGGACTGACCATGATTTTACTGGTCAACTACGAATCAGGGGATAAACTACTCAATAAGTTCAAAGAAATTGTTCTTCCTCTGACCAGGTAAGCTTTACAAAAATAGAACATCAGATCTTGATTGTAAAATCTTGAAATGTTTAGTCAGGATTAAACTTGCTTCTTTAGAATTTAAAAGTAAGTTTAGCCGAATAAGTACTTGCATACTTAGTCTGTATGATTATTAATTAATTTCTCGGTAGATGTAGATCTTGTGTTATGTACAAACTGAACTAAAGGAGTAACAGAGATTTTTAAGAAATGTATGTATATATAAATATTGCATGTAGTTGAGTGTAAACCCCAAGAAAACCATTGTCAATGATTTTCGAGGGGTGAACATTTTCAATGTTACACTCAACTACATGCAGTATTTATTATATTATATTGAATGTTTTATACAAATACATATAAGAGTGAACCGTGCGCGCATAAATTCTGCACGGTCACTATTTTTTGGAATATCACCCATCGTCAAGCAATGTTGACTGTTACTATGCTTGAGGGCGTGGTAATTCAGCGTGTAATAGTGTTTTTTAACAGATGTTTCTCGACCAATCAGATTCAACTAATTAACATGAAAGTATAATATTAATACATGTATTATTATATAAACAGTGTGTTGTAAGTTCTTGTATCATTACAGATACAGTGGTCTGTCATTTGCTTTTCTAAGACTCGAGAGCTACATTGGTTGGTACTCACATTTACTGGAAGACAGTGTAGGACATAAAGTCGCTTTAAAGAACATAAATATCAACAACTGTATAGGGACAGTGCTAGCTGTCAATGGTATGCGTAAATACTACTATATATACCAGCCCAAGAAGGCTAGAAAGTGGATAAGACAAAGTGGCAAGAATATTCCAAGTGCCATTGGAATGTTTGATTCAGATGAGAACTCGGACAGTGATCAGGACTCGCGCGTTATCCTTGTGGAGGAACTTCTAGATGGATTGCTAGACTGGTTTGACAAAGTGTTTGATGGATCTCAAAGTAAAATTCGAGTCAGCTCTTGGCCGGATCTAAGAGCAGTGTGATGAATGTTCTTATTTCAATATTTTTTTTTTATCCTTTATACCACTGATGCCATTGTGTTCATGTGCGATTGTTGTGATTTCGTGTGCTTGCTACAAACCTTTCCTTTTACGTGATCTCCCTTTTTTTCTTTATTGTTTTTATAAATTATTGTTGTACTAGGTGTATTAGGTTTTTAAAAAAACCAAAATTTATCACAGGTGATGTGTGAATTAGAGAAAACTGAAATATGTTAAACAACATGGCCATTTTGTGTAAAATCAGAAAGATTGTGTGTTGACTTGTTACCAATTAAGCCCTATTTCCTATATACAGTAGCACAAAATGTTTTACTCAGGTATGAAATCCAGTTAATCAGCATTTAAGAACATGATGTTTTTTTTCTTTTAAATCTTCTTCTATAGATCATCAGCTTCTGTTGATGATAAATGTTTAACTCGTACTCTATAGATGTAGTTAATGAATATTTATTTATTTAAATTATTTATTTAAGATTTATCAGACTGTATGAGAACTCCAAAGATATACAGATGTGTATTATTAGTTAATTTGTTGATAGTTGTAATTCATGCAGAATCAAAATTCAGTAAGGAGTCTTATTTATGTAGCAATATAATGCTCCTTCCAAGCAGAAGATACCATGCATTTCCCATCTCTTTGGCTTTTCAGCTTTCGTATTGTCATTCAGTACAAAATACTAAGTGACTTTCTTTATAGTACATGTATTATTGTCTTTTGTGATTTTTTTTATTGCATGGTCCCAAGATTGAGAATCCTCTTTTGATTGGTATGTCACTTTGTCACTTTCCTTGCTGGCTGTGCACAAATTTAACCCATTTTCTAACTTTTCAAGTAAACATGCAGCTTATGCCAAAGAGTGTGCCCTGACCCTGACTCATGTCATTGTACTGCAGAAATATTGGGAGTTCATACTTTCCACAAAGATATGATTAGACAATTTGCTATGGCCCAGACCCAATATCATTAAACAAGATCAAGGTCACAGAGATTAGAAGTGCCAATTTCTTGTCTAGTCCATTATTGTAAAATAGAAGAAATAGGGGGAAAATTCCTTTTTGGCTCAAACTTAGATCTTGGAGAATGTGGCATTCATTTGGACTCCATTGTCAATTCAAGACCAGATTGATGGCATTTGTTTTTCAAAAACAATTTTTTTTACAGATTCATTATAACCAAATGTTAATTTTCATCTAAAAATTACAGAATTTAACATCCATATTTAACATAAGTTATTAAGTGTTCCATTTGGATTGATCAGATTAAGAATAATGTTCACATTAAATGAATACCCCCCCCCCCCCCTCCCACTGGTGAGTGTTGTTTGCTTTTATGCTGCAAGACTTTTCAGGTCAGAGGTACCTTTTTGTTAAAAGTGGAAAATATTTAAAAACATTTTTAGCTCACCTGAGTTGAAAGTGTGTTTTTCTGATCACTTTTTGTCCGGCGTCCTGTCCGTCTGTAAACTTTTCACATTTTTTACCTCTTCTCCAGAACCACTGGGCCAATTTCAACCAAACTTGTGACAAAGCATCCTTGGCTAAAAGGGATTCAAGTTTCTTCAAATGAAGAGCCATGCTCTCTTTCAAGGGGAGATAATTAAGAATTAATGAAAATTTGGTGGCATCATTAAAAAATCTTTTTCTCAAGAACCACTGGGCAAGAAAAAATGATACTTAAGTGAACATTTATTATGTAGTGTAGATTCAAGTCTGTTCAAATCATGACCCCCCGGGGTAGGGTGGGGCCAGAATTGGGGATCAAAGTTTAACATAGGAATTTATAGGAAAAAATATTTAAAAATTTTATTCTGAAGAACAGCAAAGCCATGATTAGTCATATTGATATAGAAAACATGCTCAGGTCATGTAGATTCAAGCTTGTTCAAATCGTGACCCGTGGGGGGGGGGGGGACCACTAGGGGGATCAAATTTTTACATAGGAATATATAGGAAAAAATATTTAAAATCTTCTTTTCAAGAATCAATCAGCCAGAAAAGTTGAAACTTATCAGAAACCTTTAATACATAGTGTGTTTCAAATTTATTCAAATCATAACCCCTGAGGGTACATGTAGGGTGGGGCCATAAAGAAAGATCAAAGTTTTACACAGGAATACATAGGAAAAAATCTTTAAAAATCTTCTTCTCAAGAACAGCAAAGCAATGATTGGTCATATTTATATGAAAGCATCCTCAGGTCGTTTAGATTCAAGTTTGTTCAAATCATGACCCCCAGGTGTTTGGTGAGGCCACAATGGATCATCAAAATATCAAAATTTTACGTAGGAATACATAGGAAAAATCTTTTAAAATCTTCTTGATATGACTGGTCGTATTTATGGAAGCATTTTCAGGTAATATAGATTCAGATTTGTTCAAAACATGGCCCCAGAAGGTAGGGTGCGACCACAATGGATGATCAAAATTTTACATAGGAAAAATTTTTAAAAATCTTCTGAAGAAGAACAGGAAAGTCATGATTGGTCATATTTATATGGAAGCATCCTCAGGTAGTATAGATTAAAGTTTGTTCAAATCATCCATCCCCCCTTTAGGGGCAGGTTGGGATCACTTATGTAATTAAACTTTTCAATACTGAACTGATTTCTGATTTTTTCCTAGTCAGCCATAGTGCTCAGGTGAGTGATGTGGCCCATGGGCCTCTTGTTAGGATATATGTGTTAATTAAAAGGTATATCTGCTCAATTAAAAATTTCAAAATTTAGTTTAACTGATACTATTTATTTACTTGGTTCTGTTAAACTGGCATGCTTAATGATTTTATCTTATTACTGGAAAGTTGTGGTTAATGAAGTTCATCATTTACATCTCCCAACTTATTCAAAACTCAAGAGCATGCTCGAGTATGATCAATTTTTAGCTCACCAGAGCCAAGGGCTCATGTGAGCTTTTCTGATCAAAGAGTGTCCAGAGTCCGTCTGTCCTGTGTCGTCTGAAAACTTTTCACATTTTCGACTTCTTCTTCAGAACCAGTGGGCCAATTCAACCAAACTTGCCACAAAGCATCCTTGGGTGAAGGGGATTTAAGTTTGTTCACAGGAAATGCCACACCTTCTTTCAGGGGGAGATAATTAAGAATTCATGAAAATTTGGTGGCATCATTTAAAAATCTCTAGAACCACTGAGCAAGAAAAGATGAAATTTATGTGAAAGCTTCATTACATACTCTTAAGATTTAAGTTTGTTCATATCATAACCCCCGGGGGTAGGGCAGGGCCACCAGAGGGGGTCAAAGTTTTACATAGGAAATGTCTTTAAAAGTCTTCTCAATAACAGCAAAGCCATGATTAGTCGTATTGTTAGAGAAGTAGAGAAGGGCATTCACATTTGACTTGTGTATTGCCTGTTTCAAGACCTTCTGAATGTACTAGGATTTTTGATGTGACAACACTTTCAGATAAAACTATTTTAACTTCATGACCTTCACCTGGAACTTTAAATTGCTTATCTTATTACTTACTTAAAATTTCAACCAAACTTGCCTCAAATCATCCTTGGATAAAGGAAGGTACGTTCATGTCTCCTATTAATAGGAAACAAATTAAGAATAAGTGCAAAGGTAGGGTCATTCAAATATATTCTCAAGAACGAGTTCAGAAGACAAATAAGGAGAAAGCCTTATAAAGCATAGGTTCAAGTCTGTTGTGTTTAAATAACATACCCAGGGACATCACTTGTAGTTAAAATATCATACAAATATTTTCCATTTGTTCAAATTATAAAACCTAGGACTAAGATGAGGCCACAGAATGGGGTCGATTTTACAAAGGAATGGCAGAAAAATCATTTCTTATTGAGAACAGTTGGACCAGTGTAAATCATATATATAATATACAGGCATCCTTGTGTGGGGAGATTCCAGTCTGGTCAAATCTTGAAGTAGAGTGAAGTCACAGTAAGGGTTTAAAGTTTAACAAAGGAACATATAAAAAAAATCTCAGGAATTAGTCAAACATGCGGCCCCAGGAGCCAGGGACCCGTTTTACAAAGGAACTTACAACGAAAACCAAAATTTAATTTTGTAAATAACTTATTTTACATTTGATTTGAAAATGGTCTGAATCTTTTTGAAAAGAAGTTATGGAAATATATTTATGCAAACAATTTTAAACAGAATCATTCATTATGCAAGATTTTACAATCAACCAAAATTTTTAGACCTAGTTGTAAGTTCTTTTGTAAAATGGGCCCCAGGATGGTCCTAAAATGGGGAGGGGGGGGTGGTTATGGGCAGACAAAGAAAAATAAGTAGTAGTTGAGCATTGTGGCCCTCTTGTTATCGTTGCTGTTGTTCAAATTGTCTAATTTTTGTTTTGATGAATAAACAATCACATACTGAACAATAATGCATATACAATTTTTGTATGTATTATGAAAACACTTTAATGTTTTGGGTGCATTTCATAAAGCACATAAAACAAACAGATTGCAAACAAATTGTTATAAATGTTTTTAAATACTGTATGGAATTGTATAACAATAGTAAATCTTTACAAAACAGAAATAGGTATGCTACAAAAGAAATATACATTTCAAAACAAGATTATGTAAAATTATAAATAAAAGTGAAGTATAGTTATATATTTTTTTAAAATTATGTTTTTATAATCATTTTCAGCACAATCATTAAGAAATTTATTAAAGATTAATTGTTTACCAGCAGTTAATAAATACATTAATTGCTACATTAATAAATTAAAGAGTTCTCCAAAAACATCATAATGTGATTTGTACATGTACTATAAAACCAGAAGTACTTCATTTTCTCACTTTGATTTAGAAAAAGTACATAATTTAATTCTACAGTCTACACAAAAATATATAATACTTGGTTTTAACAAAATACTGATAAACTATCACCGCAAATGTAAACTGAATTTCATTGAGCGTTTTCTGCTTCATAGAATGTATCACAGTATAACAGATTACACTTATCAATTAAAAATACTGTCATGGGTTGACCCTTATAAACTTGTAAACTTAAAAATCAAGCCATTCTGCTCAAGAGTTCACTGTCATGAAGCTTACAATCAGTATGATGTGTATGTATTTGGATACACACAATATGATTTAATCACCAAACAGCAGATAGGAGTTGGCACGAATACAATACTGAAATTTAATACTGCAAGTTTACCTAACTATATAGCCTCTAAACTTAACTATGCTTAGGCTAGCATACAGATGCAAAACAAAATGTACCACATGAAAAAAATATATACAAGTACTATATAACTACTCACAGAGACTAGAAATAGTACAGTATTTCAATACAGTATATGATATACATGTATACTGTATGTACTTTACAGGTGTGACAGAGTTGTAATAGGGCTGAGAAATGACGGAGTAATGAAAAATATCTGTATACATTTAGAAACAAGGCTGATGAAGTAACATAAGTAGAGACAGTTTTAAATGAGTATTACATGATTTAGATAAAAAAGAGACATTCATTGAAAGTAAAGACTTCTACAATTTTTATGTATATACTAGGTCGGGGAGTTTTTCTGGTGATTTGAATGCTACTGTGTTCCTCAAGTGAAGGTCTTTGTTGACTTTGTTGTATGGATGTAAAGTTGTTGACATATCTTTAGAAATGGCAAACCGATTTCTGACCAGATTTTCTCTAGGGGGTCCTACGTACGAATTCTGGTAGGTAGACAAGTAATCTCCCTTGACTTCATCTGCAATCTGGTCCTTCCATTTAGATTGTAACTGCTCATGCAACCCAAAGTTTGTGGGCTTACCTGTCAAATGTAAGGAAATAAAATATGATTTATGTTCCCAAACTATCAGTTACAAGTATATATTTCAGTTATAGATAATCTTTCAAAAACAGAAGGCATAAATTTCAAAGACTATGCACCAAGCTTTTGACATTACCATTCAGCATCAAAGCAAGAGACAAAGTTGCAAGGGTTTATGGGTAGTAGAGTGGACTAAAAACCCTTGGCTAGCAAAGGCATAGATGAAGATTAAGTTCAAAAAAACTTTTCATAATCTAAAACCAATATGATTTTGTTCAAAAGATTAGAAGTGAGGTGATACCCTGTAGTGGATAATCGGATTTCTCTGGTGCCCAGGAGAGCTTGTGACTGTTCCAATCTCGTAATGATGGTAGTGTGTTCTCTTTGTATCGTCCATTGTACTGCTCGTCGTACCATGAGATCTTGTTCTGCATGTACTTATCTCCGTGGTGGTGAAAGATGTGTTCCTGGCCCAGTCCATCATTTCTCATTAAGGCCTTTCGTCGAACTATGACGTCAGGCTTATATGTTCCATAGTTTCTGAAGTCAACTCTATGTGTGCTGTTATGTTTTGTATCTCCTTTCTTGAACTAAAAGTGTAAAGGAGGTAAATTAAGTAACAAAATCTTCATCCAACATCTCTGATTTGTGTGTCTTAACCCGAGTTTTGAAAATCTGTATTTTTACTGCGCCCAAAGTAGAAAAAAAATACCTGATTTGAACTAGATGCTATCGTCATTCGATCAACTTTGATTGGTCATTGAAAGGTAAAACAGTAAAAAATGAACATTTCAATATCCAAAAGATATTGTTTGTTTGTTAGTTTTTTTTTTTTTTTTTTTTTTTTTTTTTTGTTTCTTAATGAAATGAGGAAATCATTCAATAAGGCTTGATAACAGCTGCACTAAAATTGGCGTATAATTTTACAGTGCGGGATAACTTACGGTGTATCTCTCCTCGCCCCAGTTTCCTATCAACACCCCGGGTGAAAACCGTTGTTCTATTCTCCAGCCAGGCATATGCCACTTCATAGGATCCCCCTGTGCCATCTTTCAAATTTTTAAAGTTCTTTAAAACTTTATTTACAATGGCGATTTTTCCACATGAAACGGTGTCGCTACAACGTTGCTAAGGCAAGGCGAGTATAAATTTAAAACCAGACTGCTTCGAAATCCGGCAACGCAAAATGCACTAAGACACGTGTATTATGCATTCCAAATTCCTTTTGGTTGTGAAAGTTGAAGTAGATAAATATATTAACTTGTTGCTTTGCATGGGTATTTGATAAATAAAGAAATAGGGACTCCATAATTATTTTTTTTTTCATTTATTTATTGACAACAGGCCCGTAGGAAGCAATTTCAGTTGGGGGGGGGGGGGGGGGCACAGCCATACATTTTCAGTTGAGGGGGCACTATCAACTATCAAAAATTTCTTGACAAGCAAAAAAAAAAAAGGTCATCAGACGTATTTATTGAGGGGGCACAGGCTTATAGTAGCTATTTTTTTTTATAGTAATCTATATATTCAATTTCAATTTCAATTCAATTTATTGATTCACCAAACATGTTGGCATACAACCATGTTACAAACAAAATGACAAATACAGTGTGTTTTCAGATTACTAAAACATATACTAAAGTACATACATACATGCAAGTGTACAAATCAGTGAAGTCAACTACTTTTACAACTTGAAGTTATACATAATCATTATGCAAATAGTATAAACAGTATAATATGGACAGAGATAAACTAATTAATGCATTAAATATATATTATTGTGCTCTATTTTTAGAACGCAATTCAAAACATTCATGTAAAAATTCGCATAGCCTTCTAGAATGAACTGCATTGTCAGGATTACAAAGTACTTTACAATGATTTTCCTTCAACATGTTATCATTTAAATTATAGATGTTCAGAGGGTAATACTTTTTTCGCAAATCTTTATATATAGGACAGTCATATATGAAATGTATTTCATTTTCTACAACATTTTTACAATAGTGACAAAAACGAGATTCTTTTGGGATACAAGGCTTTGAATATCTGCCAATTTCAATTTCTAAAGGGTGTGCAGAAATTCTCAGTTTTGTTAATTTAGAACGTACAGATTTATTAATTGGAAATTTCAAGTAGTCTTGTAATTCATAGTTCTTTCTAATTTGACTGTAAAATAATAATTTACCACATTTGGTGAATTCAATGTTCTGAAGTTGCAAATTAACATTTTTTATGTAGAAATTCTTCAAGTAGCTGCTAAATGTGCTATCAGTGATATCTAATGATGGAAGTTTAAGTTTCTTTTTTAATTTATCAATCTGACTCTGCCAATTATCCTTTACATCATTATTATACAGAATGTCATCTTCTAAGAAAGCAGCAATAAGAATTTGATTTCGAATTCCATTTTTATTATTATGGTTTTTTAGTCTCTTATAATATTTAAACATAGAGATGAAAGCTTTGCAACAAATAGGAAGTGTTCCTAGCTCATATTTAATGGCTAAATTTGAAGCTTTCCTCTGTACACCCAAGATGTCTTTAAATATTAAATGCTGTATCTTTTCAAAAGGTAGTTGATCACAATTGTTTATATTAACATGCTATGGATGCGAGATTTTATCGCTATACCGGTATATCATGATCTATTTTACTGCTCGATACATATCGTGATACGGAGACTAAAATACCGTTATTTAGAACGTTATAATAAATGTTCAAAAAAGAAGGTACGTTATGTAACAAAATCCGCCCTGTCCCACAATCTGATGAAGATTTTTTTGAAACATGTATAAGATGTCTTCTTTTTATTTCAGCTTAATTTTTTTAAAGATCTCAAATCAATTTTCCTACAAAGCTATCTGAATATAGATAGTTTCTTTTGGAAAATAACACTATTACGTTATGACGTCAACCTAACGACGCTACGCAAATACGAGGGTTGTTGGAAAGTTCGTTATATTACTTTCAAGAAATATTAAAAAAGAAAACATTTTCTTATATAGAAATATTTATTTTGTTGATGTGTGAAGTTTCATTCCATTCGATTTGACAGAAATCAATTTACCTAATTTTAAAATCAACATGTTTGGTAACCCCGGAGCTCGTACATTATTACGTCAAAAACATTGCGTCATGGTGTTTTCAAAAAAAAAAAAAACATCTCCCTTTATATTTCACACAGTTTGGTCCAATAGTCACTTACTAAAAACCTTTCTCTATCAATTTTAATTTATTCTGCTAACAATCATACCAGTAGCATAATTTTGTTTGTCCAAGTTTATTTTTTTTACCGCGTAACTGTGCATTTACAAGATCAGCAATTGTGAAGCGCCTTTCTCTTTCCATGACTTTACCAACTCAAAGTTTCTGTTCAGATTTTTACAGATAATCCATTTTCTCGAAGACCGCCCTTGTCAGATACAAAGTTTTAATCATTCGAACACAGCCTCTATCATTTATAAACATATGCACAAATCGCTTTTGACATTTGCTCCCTACAATATTTAGAGTTTATTCTGAAGATTTCCAGAGTACAACACAACATTTTGTTATACCTTTAAAAATTGGTTTCTATATAAATTAAATCTATACACACATTTCCAAGTAAGATATTTGACCTGTCGATGAGAAATTGGACCGCTTACGTCAAAATTGCGGGCGGGATCAGCTAAATCTCATTTGCATTCGTTGGTGTTCGAAAGTGACGAAATTAACCACGTTTAACTGCAATGTGATTTAAGTAAATTAACATCATGGAATCCAGCACAAGATACAAAGGTATAACAAAGGTATAACAAAACATTCATTGACTATGTTCTCGGGCAAAATGCGTTTTGTCGACCCATCAATCGGATAAATAATGGCCTCAGACAAACAATTTGGCTTTTGGGTCTGACAATATACAAAAGAAAGATTAATTTATATGATTTTAAAACAAAAGAGAGAGGGGGGAGGAGAGAGAGAGAGAGATGCGTAACGCATATTTACGTAATAGTACGTTTATTTGAAGTATCCGATTATTCTAATTCAAGCAAGATTTTTTATTTTTAAAAGCTAGACAATATTTCTTACGCGAATTACTTGGTTTGTTTTTAAGATTGCATTAAAACTTTTTACACTATTTTATAGAATGTCAGATTCCCTATAAAATTTTATAAGAAAGTATTAAAGATTAGATATTTTAATTAATAGATAACATTGAAAGGGCAAATTCCACAGCTCATCCTTTCTAGCGAGTCGCGGCGTCATTCACGAATTTATCTACAAAAAAATGTGTTTAAAACGTTTCTGTCCTATCATCTGAAAAAGCCTCCATCCTACCTCCCCCCCCCCCCCCAAAAAAAAAAAAACTGAAAAAAGTACTATCATTCCATTAATAATTTTATATGTCACTGGAGAAAGCCTATTAGGATCAAACTACGGTAAAAAAAAAATTAAAAGGCGTTATAACGCCTTTTCAAAAGGCGTTATAACGCGAAAAAAGGCGTAATAACGCCTTTTGAAAAGGCGTTATAACGCGGAAAAAGGCGTTATTACGCCTTTCTAAAAGGTGTTATTACGCCTTTCTAAAAGGCGTTATAACGCCTTTCCAAAAGGCGTTATTACGCCTTTCCAAAAGGCGTTATAATGCCTTTCCAAAAGGCGTTATTACGCCTTTCCAAAAGGCGTTATAATGCCTTTCCAAAAGGCGTTATTACGCCTTTCCAAAAGGCGTTATTACGCCTTTCCAAAAGGCGTTATTTCGCCTTTCCAAAAATTTATAATAAAATTTATAATACTAAAACTATAATCTAAATATTGCATAAATAAAGATGGCTTTGGTTCAATCTTTCATATATTTACTATTTTAAAATAACGCCTTTCCATTTTTGGATACAACTCCTTTTCAAACAGGCCGGTAGTACGAATGTGAGTGGGGGGGGGGGGGGGTCCCCCACCCCACTTTTTGGGAGAATAGTCTTGCTATAGTTTAAATATAAAAAAATCATTAATTGATTGCTTGGTCCCTTATCATTTTGTTGCAGTATGGTTAAACTCGGGCAAGTCTTGCATTTAAAAAAAGTTTTACCGAAAAATTAGAAAAAGTTTCCCCTCAAGTTTAGGCAGTTTATTTTTTTTCGGGGGGGGGGGTCTTGTTTTTTTGTTTGCTTGTCAATTTTATGGGACCCCCCCCCCCCACTTTAAAAGCACGGGCCTGTCAAAAACATAATAATGGCCCTTCAAAAGGCATAATAACGCCTTTTTGAAAGGCGTATTAATGCCTTTTAAAAAGGCGTAATAACGCCTTTTGGAAAGGCGTAATAACGCCTTTTGGAAAGGCGTAATAACGCCTTTTAGAAAGGCGTTATAACGCCTTTTAGAAAGGCGTAATAACGCCTTTTGGAAAGGCGTAATAACGCCTTTTTAAAAGGCGTAATAACGCCTTTTGGAAAGGCGTAATAACGCCTTTTAGAAAGGCGTAATAACGTCTTTTGGAAAGGCGTAATAACGCCTTTTTTCGCGTTATAACGCCTTTTGGAAAGGCGTTATTACGCCTTTATTTGCGTTATTACGCCTTTTTCCGCATTATAACGCCTTTTCAAAAGGCGTTATTACGCCTTTTTTCGCGTTATAACGCCTTTTGAAAAGGCGTTATAACGCCTTTTAATTTTTTTTTTTTACCGTAGTTTGATCCTAATAGGCTTTCGTAGGATAGCCCTTCTCAAATGCAAGGATTAAGTATCCCCCCCCCCCCTTTACAGGCTGGTAGAGATGCAGCACTTCTCTTAGATAGTTGGCATAGGCAACTTTCTATCGCATTTTTTTCAATTAATTGAGGCTTTTTTCACCAACTAAGTATAGCCTTTCAAAAAATAAATAAATAAAATTAATAAAATAAAATAAAAATAAACATGTATAAACATTTACCTTCTTTGAAGAACACTTTTACGATCTTTTTTAAAATACGTACTTATAGATAAATACAGTAGCTTGAAGTTTCGACTTTGTAGCTTGAAGTTTCGCTCAATATAAGGGCCTATCTTTAAGTAAGTATTGTAAGCCTTCGATACCAAACCTATGGAGAGAAAGATCATAGGCCTTTATGCCTGCTTTTCAATCCATATAAGGTAGAGCGCTCGCTCCCTGATCGGAAGGTCGTGTGTT